TTTTCAACTGTGAAGGATCTTACACATGAACTACTGGGAGTGCTATGCACTCAGCTGATATTCCTTACATCAGCTACTTTTTTAATAGATGTCAATTCTGAGAAACAAATCTTGCACTGGGGATGGACAATGCTATGTCAAGACAAATATCAGTATCGGCTACAACTTCAGGCATGTTAGATGATATGATTCAAAAATGTGATCAGCTTATCACTCTAGTTAAATACAACTTACATTTGAAAGTTACTAATTTCCTAATTTGGTCTTAAACAGGGTCACATACTTCAATAGGGCTACTTAACTTTTACTGTAGCCTTTTGCTCTCAAATCATAGAATCATTTTGGTTGGATAAGAACACTATGATCCATCTAATCCAACTGCCAGCCCACCCCCACCATGCTCACTAACCATGCCCCTCAGTGTTACACCACACATTTCTTGAACATCTTCAGGGGCAGCGACTCCACCACCTCCCTGGGCAGCCTGTGCCACTGCCTCACCACTCCCTCTGAGAAGAAATTGTTCCTAATATCCAAACTGAACCTCTCCTGGTGCAACTTGAGGCCATTTCCTCTCATCCAATCACCGCTACCTGATCGAAGAGGCACTGCAGCGTACGTACTGAGTTAATGTGGTGGAAATATCAGTAACAATTTGTTCTTCTGTGCCAAATTCAGTGCAGGTGTGTGTATATATTTCAAAATTTGGAAGGAGTAAATCTGCAGTTATGAAGAAAGACTTCAACAATGATCACCTTCAGGTATCACAGTAGGTTAAAAAAAAAAAAGGGAAAATTTTAACTGAAAATAATTCTCTGCACAACTCCATCAGCCTTTCTTTAGAACAAGCCATGATTTAAATATATTATATTGAAACATTTTTCTCAAAGGTAAGCTTCTCCAATTCACAACTCTGCCTATCAGGGTAGCAGATGGTCAGGATGATCTGATGCCAGGCAGCCTGTTGGTATAACACAAACAGCTTTGAAAAAGCTACACAATAAAGCAGCTTTTTAGCAGACATGACTTTAGAAATACTAATTCCATACAATAACATATTTTCTATATTAAAGGCAAGTCTTAACCCTTCATATTCACATGTAAGGAATTCTGAAGATAGGAAATGTAATCTAGAAAAGCAAAAATAAATTTTACATGCTGCTTAAAATGAGACATTTAGTAAGTCAATTTCAGCAGTGCTTCAGTGAAGAAAATTAAGATCTCTCAATGAAAGCAAAATACCTTCAGGGCAAGATGGGAAAGCCAACTGTAAGAGAAAAACAGCTGCCAAACAAGAGTCCCTAATAAATACTATGTTTTATTTTACCACTATTCTTGAAACAAAACAGTAGTAGCAATGTGTGTATATATGTAGGGATGGGTTAAATATATTGTGAAATAGTGCAACACGGAGTTGGAAGATAGATTCAGCAGCTCTGGTGCTGCTGAGGCACAGAAATAATAAAAGTGGTTTAACACTCAAAGTAATCTATTAGAGTCAAGACTTCAGTGCAGATTCCAGCTGTGTCTTAGGATTAATTTTTCAGAGGCAGTACTAGTCAGATAAGACAAACAGCAGCACAGCAAGCAAGGGGAGAAAGAACAGAGGTTTCTTCACAAAGGTTGAATTATCCTGGACTAAACAGAAGTCTTGAAGTCCTCTTCAGCACTGTCTTCAATGACAGGCTTTGCATGCAGCTGTGATTTGAGATGGGTTGGCTTAGGTAAACAAACCTATTCACTCTGTGTGAATAAAGCTCCATTTAATATACATTAATTTGAGCTTATAGCATTTCCTTTTTGTCCATTATACATATGCAATAGCTCTAATATTTTCTGCAGGTTCTAATCTGAGAGAGAAAAACTGCTTCTTTTGACAATATCTGAGCCTCAAATTTACTTGAATGCAACAGAACCTTAAATCATATGGGTAACAGCATATAACAGCATACATAAGAGCAGTCTAGTTACACCAATATGAAACAAAATAGGACTCTGCCCTGGTTTTCAGCAGTTTACTTATGAGCATTGTTTGTTCTAATTTTTAGTTTTATTTATTTTTAATATTTTTAATTATTTTTGATAATAATTTTATAATTTTTCTAAATTGTGTACTGGTTTCTAGAAACAATACAGAATGTGACTGATTCCCTTAAATTATTAAACACATTCAAGAAGAAAATTGATCAGGAAAATACTTTTGCTTGGTACTATCAGGAGGAGAAAAGATTTACTGAGAAACTGTTATCTTCTATAAATCCAATATTCCAAATATAACTTAATAGATTAAGTACACGACAAATCTCATCAGACAAGTTCTATTTATACATTTGTCACAGTAAGCAAATAGATGAGTTTGAAGGCAACTCTGACTTGGGGTAGATGTTGCTTCGATGAAAAATCTTAAGATATTACCCAGAGCCTGAACTGAAACAAGTCCCCAAAATGTTCACAGTAGCCACAGACTAAGATTAAGAAGCCATATGATTATAACAAAGATTCAAGGTAGAGATCAGGTAACAATAAAGGGATTTAATATCAGCATCTTGCACAGTTGTTTGCTAGTAACTTTCCACAGTTCTTTCAGATTTTTCCTCCCACCAAAAACATTCATCATTTATACTCAGTATTAACTACTACCACTTTTACAGACTAGGTAGCAAAAACAAACAAAAAAAAGAATCCTCTAAGGTCAGTATAAAAGCAGGGCTATGAGAATCTACTTTTGGCCCTCTTCTACAAGAACAGATTTGCAACTGTAATATTTTTCCAAAACATGTCTTGATTATGTCAGTTTAAGTCTACTAAAGACCAGTCTGACCAAAATCGGCGAGTTAGCTTGAAAAGTTTTATCAGTACACTGCAAGCTGTTCGCAAGTTAATAACTAAATTATCCTGAAGTATGGCAGAAGTGCAGTACAAATGTTTGTCCATACATAATACCAAAGATAAGCAAATTAAATGCTTTTCTTACAAAGCAGATACAGCTGGTAGACCAGATACTATTTCATTGAAGCATTCAGAGAAAAATATTTGTCTACACATAAAATTAATTTTACCTTACATCTTTCAACAAAAGAAGCAAGGCAAATAATGACAAATGTAAGAATATAAAGAATAAGGAGTGGAATGTGGACTAATACAAACTGTTGAAAACCAAAGTGTAGAGTTCAAACATTCTTTTATTCGTGTGGTACTGTAATGTTTTACCTCAGCTGCTGAAGTACTAACAACCATTTTACTACACAAACATCTAACAGTAATGTAATAAAGGACCATTCATTCTATATGCGATATTCACCATCCTAAACATACTTTGAAAAATACTTACATAAGTGTGGTTAATTTAAATTCAATTACATGCACAAAATCCAGTACTATAAACATACCAAAGAAACAAGGAATACTTTGGGAATAACTCACAGAAAATTAGGCTTATCTGAGGTATAACCATAATCTCCACAGTGAGTGATGTAACTCAGATACAGCAGAATAAATCACTGCTCAGAAAATAAATATTTTCACACTTAGAACACCTTATTTCTTCGTCTGAAACACCATAAAAAACAGGTTTTCCCACTCTACCCTCAGTAGGCATTGGGAAGGTAAAACAGAAAGGAGAATAACCGCAGGAGAAGATAAAAACAAGAATGATGAAGTCTGGACATAATCTACTAGTCACAGTAGACAGGGTAGCAACTTGTTTTTCTGCCAACAGTTTCTACATTCACCATCTCCTCATATGGTCTACTTCACATTAATTTTATTTGGTTAACTACTTCTACAAGGGCATAAGTTGTCTGCAAATGTTAAACCACAGGAAAGACAACTTCATATCTGTGGCTATTCAACATCTTGAGGCAACACATTGTTTCAGCTGTTACAGACACTACTAGCACAATGTTTTATCTGACTTGCAGGAAGAAAAATAGAAAAATGCTTTTGATGACCCAGCGACAAACTCCAAATATGCATACAGCATGTTAGATTTTCATTCCCCTCACCCTCTTCCATAGAAACCTCAATGCTATAGTGTAGTAACAAAAACTGTTTTCTTCATGTCTGAAGACAACTTCATGCCCCAGATTTAAAGCTACAGCTGTGTAGCTGAATGCTATGAAAGATATAATGAATTCCTATCAATCTGCTTCTCAAAATACATCATGTATATAGGTTACAAGGAAGGGATCACCAGAAGCTATTTTTCTTTTATAATAATATAAAGGAACTTGTATTTTAATACACAGTATTCTCACCAGATGAAAGTTTCAAAATAGCTCTGTTTTCTGTTTAAAATTTGACTGATCAATGACCTGGTACCTTTGTTATTTCTGAAGCTAGTATTATGCTATTATGAAGTTACTCATGAGAAATACTTCTGTAAGTAAGAGGAAAGCCACATAAATATACAAACAGAAGGACAAGAGCTTCAGGTTGCGGAAGCAAACGTAGAAGTGGCTAGACAGTTGGTCCTTAAGGAATAGAACAAAGCACGTGAAGGCAAAAAGCAGACTGCCCTCAGAGTGGCAATCTACAGTTCCTCAGAGTAAGAAGATAGATGACCTCTAGAATCATTATGTTTCCATGTTTAATCTAAGGCAGTAATTCTTTCAACTCAGCTGGAGCCAATAATGTAGAAAACAAATGAACTCTTAAAGAGTCCATTGAAGATTCCCCAAGAGAAAAGAAAGTTTATAATAGGTGGGAAAGGGTTGCAAAACCTACTGGGTGATGGGATATTACAGATACAAAAAGGCTTGCCATCTCTGACTTTACTGAGAATTTTTGTTTAGGGATGAAGGGGTTGGTTTTTAAGCTTGTTATTTTGTATCACAGCACTTTTTGATCACATTTGCACTTCTAACAATTTGTCAAAATAAATCTTACGCTAACAAAACACCGTTTGAACTCAGTATTATAACTTATGATCACTGTTTTATACGAAAACTGTTTTGTTTTTCAAGAAAAATGAGCAATGCATTGTTTGCAGAAGCCCTTACCTCCTCTGTGGACTGTGGTTCTGAGAGAACTCTGAATCGCTGTCTTTGGATGTTGGAGAGCCCTTATATGTATAAAAAACATCTTCTGTCTCAGTAATATAAGAAATCTCATTTGTAAGGTTATCTACAGATGAATGTCGTGCTTTACGGATTTCATGACGTAGTCTAGGACTCCGCCTTAAAAAAGGGAACATGAAGACAAGTTAGTAGGTTGTAATCATTTGTAGAACATTCTGAGGATGATTTCTATTCTACTGCAATCTAGGCCCTGAAGTCTTCCTGTCACTTTAAACGACATATAAAACATTGGGAGCTTTTTTCTATTTTTTTTCTTCCACTTTAATATAGTTTAGAAAGGCAACCATGCATTTTTACTGCTATTTCAAGACATTTTTTATCTCATTTTTCATCAGGTCCTAGAATAGTTCAAAATCTTTTGCATAAATATCAACTTCAAAATATTTTGCTGCAAGAGTTCTTTCAAAAGTGATACTGACATGCTTAAGCAAATACAGTCACATTTTGCTCTAATGCAGGATCAAATATGACAGATTTGCAGTCAACGTCCAGCTAACTCCCTCTTAAGTACTGTCAGGCTGTTAATAGGCAACTGGAAAATCTCTTTTCCAGGCTAAAGAACTGCAGTTGTTTCAGACTCTCCTCACAGCAGGACACATTCCATGACAGACCCTTGCAGTACTCACCACATTTTACTGCTCTCCAAGTAAAATTTATAACCATCTACCCCTCAAAGACCAGCAGTTATCCATCCCATCTTGCTACCCACCTATCCAGAACATGATATCATATTTTGGATATAATGTTAATACAGATAGTTTAAAAAGCCTTGTTAAAGTTAAGATAAATTACCCCCACTCTTTCCCTGTCATTACATATACTCTCAAAATAGCAGCATATATGTAGACACTACATATCTAGTCTGCTAGAAGACATGCAAGGTAGAAAAGGTAGAAGGCTGGAAGGTAGGGATAGGATGAAACTTATTTTACCAATTAGGGGTAACAGGAGGTGATCGAGAAGGAAGGCTTTTGGTCTCTAGATGCTCAACAGATAAAGATCTCCTCATAGATGGGTTCCAAACCATCCCACCTATGACTTTTCTGCAGTACTGGCTGTTTACAGACCTGAAAAGAATTAAAAGTGAAAATCTACATGTTAATTGTATTGCATAGAAAAATGTAGTTAAATAAAATATACTTTTTAAAGTACATTATATAATTCACATTTTAAAGAATCACCTGTGCTTACCCCCTCACTATAAAAGAGCCATTTGCTGTCCCTCACTTGTTGCAATAAAACTGTTCAGTTCATCCCTACTTCAATACTAATCAAAAACCTGGGTAAAAATAACTTTTTTCTGAGAGTTATTTTTAACTTCATTGTGTTCAAGAAGATAGAAATGAAAACAGGAAATTTGGCATGTTCTGTTGGCACCAAGCCAAGTGCCTGACAAAACATAATTCAAATAAAGGCATACGATTCTAGACGTTTTCTGCTAAAACTTACGAATTGGTAACAACCCACTGTGGCTTAACTGAGCACACAACCACTTTATCTATGTGATGACTCAGCAGATAAGAACTTGTCCTGGTTTCAGCTAGGATGGAATTGTTTTCTTCAGAGCATCTGGTATGATGCTGTGTTTTGGTTCTAGGAGAAAAACGATGTTAATAACACACCGATATTTCTAGCTGGTGCTGAGCCATGTTGTACAGAGCCGAAGTCATTCTCAGGGCCCAAGGAGCTGGGAGGGAACAGGATTAGGACAACTGACTTGAACTGGCCATAGGGATATTTCATACCATATGAAATCATGCAGAAGGAGTTTTGAAGAGTGGAAGTTTACCTTGCTCTCTTCTGCTTGCTGGGGGATAACTGAGAATCACTCAGCAGATGCTAAGGAATTACTTGTGCATTACTTGTTATATACATTCACATATAACTATCATACATAACTATTAAATAGTCATAACTATTATACTTCTCCTGATCTCTATCTTACTAAATAACTATTTCAACTCATGAATTCTACTTTTCTTCTTAAATTGTTTTTATTTTCTCCTTCATCCCACTGGGAATTAGGAGGAGAGTAAGGGAACAACAGTGTGGTGCTTAGCCACCTGTCAGATTAAACCACAACAGTCATTTTGCAGTGCTGAATTCATATACCACATCAGTTTGTCCACCGTTAATTTTGTTATTATATAAGCCAAGGCCACACACTACAGCAAATTAAAAACCTTAATCCAACTCTTGAAGATGACAAACAACACAGCAAAGAAAATAAACAGCAAGGAACATGCTACACAGTATTGTTTCACGAAAAGACTCTCAAAAAGCTCCATAAATAGTGAAAAAAACTAGCATAGTGACTAGCAATTACCAATCCCTGTGACAAGTCCCACAACAGGCACCAAAATTGGAATAAAGTGGTACCTTTTGAAACTTATTCCTTAAAATTATATGGGCTATGCAATGCCTGTACGTGCATTGTGTATGTAAATATATGATCTTTTCATCCACTTGCAGTTTTAAAAAGAGAACGGTCTCCAGACATAGCATTCTGACAAGTGTTAAGAAAGTCACTTCCTCAATACAAGTTTGTATTGATCCATAAAGGATCTAATCCTCAAAATACACGTCTCTAAACACTTAGAAAAGTTCTTTATTGTTCATTCAGCTGCTTGTTTTTATTCATTCCAGCTATGATCTAGTACTACGCAAAAATATGGAGATTCCACTGAAGTGGAATGTAACATTTTACCAGTGTGCTTGTGCCTGGACAATTCTTTGTGCCTTTACTGGCATCATTTATAGGCAATGATAGACCCTTCAGTATGAATTCCTGCAGTACTGAAAGAGACATCAGAATATGAAGAGCCAACTGCCAAAATTTGGGAAATTATTGGAAGTATGATAACACAGAATTACAGAATATAATGAGTAAGAAGGGACCTACAAGCATCTAGCCCAACTCCTGACATCATTCAGAAGTTGAATCTGGGTCCAAGTAGGAAAAGGATAAATTAAATAAGAAACAATTCAACAGTTAAGGAGAAAAGTAAAGAAAAGATAAAGTAAACAAGAAAATATTCTCCCCAAAACCATCAGAAAAAGCAGTTTACTGGTAAGTCTATGGAGACTACAGATAATCAAAGGACTAAAGAACTCCCTGAAATCTCACATTTTGAGAAGATAACGACATAAGACTTACAGCCCAGATGGTGCGTATGGAAAGGGTACATCCCAACTTCATGTAGCAAAATAACAAGCTCTGAACTACATTTTAGATACCACTGTGAAACTACCAGCTCAATGACAGCAGAAGCCAACAAAGCAAATAAAAGATGAGAAGTGTCACGACAGTGAAATCTTGAATGATTGGATGGGGAATTTTTTTCATCCCCATGTAATTAATTGAGATCTTTACGCACTTCAGAAATTGCCCTAACATATTAAACAGTGTTTATATAACAATAAGGAATAAACAGTTCAAAACAAATCTGTTCAGCAAATTCTCTTATTGGATCATTAACCACATAACATTTTAACTTTGTATTGTTGTTATACTTTATGTTGAAAAAGCAAGTTAAGACGATAACAGTAAAACAGACTCAAATAACTTTTTATGAGCATTATGTTGTAACGACATCATTGCACAAAAAAAAAAAAGGAAAACAAAGTTAGACAACTTGTCCAACGTTTCACAGAGACTGACACAATCACAAGCAGAACTGAGCTCTGCAACTTCAAATTCAGCTGTCACTGACAAATCCTCCTTTTGGCATTTACAATGGGAAACATGCTTTCACGCAATACTTACTTTGCTGGATTTCTAGAACCTAGGGTCCAATAATGTGACAATATTTTTTTTTCATGAGGTAGTGACTTCTTTGCCTGAAAAAATGTGTGATGCTCTACACAAGACTTCCACAGATTTTTGCATGCTCTGTAATTTAACATGTTGAAGGCAACAATATGCTCTCTGGATTCATTCTGTAACAGTAAGAAAATGTATATTTCAACATATACAAGCTGATCAAACAAAGCAAACGAGATTATAAAGCTATCATATAAGTAACAATGACATCACTTTTAGTCTAAATAATCAAATCAAATTCAGGAAAATAAAAATTCATCACATAGTAGATTTTGATCTGGAGATGGATGAAATGGCACGGTGAGTATATGAAATTCAAATGCCAAAACAAACCTTTTAAAAGTGTAAGCAATATTAACAATCATTAACAAGTTCAGCAGTTTCTAATCATTACAGTGCTAATTGAATGCAATGTTTAAGTCTATAGTGTCAAATATATTTTATATACAAGTATAATACAAAACAGCTAAACAGATTTTTGGATTTCCTGTCAGATTGTGATCTTCCCATGACAAACAAAACTCTTTAACACTGTATTAAGGTTGTAACGTACAAGAAGAATCTATCTGCAAATTCAAACTCTTCATATAAGACTTCACATACATATGTATTTTCCCTCAAAAGCGATAGCATACAAAAATCATCTGTTTGATATTCTCTTAAAAGATAGCCAAGATGTTAAGTGTTCCACTTGAGTTCTTTCGTTTGCTCACAGCAATAGATCAGTTTAGAAGTAACTACAGACCATTCTGGCCAGAATAATCAAGCTAGTTTTCTTGCATTCTTTTTCTTTCTATGCAATATTTTAAAAATGGCATCAGAAAACAATGCCACATTCTGCAAAGCACTTGAACTAGTGCAGTGACTTCATTTACAGATTCTCTATAGTGGAAGAGACAAGGAGAATCTCTAGGGGAAGCTAAAAATGACCTGCCTCTTTGCCATCTTTGGCATTGGTAGGCGTTTAAATGATTGTAATCTATGTATTTCCTGTATCTATTAAAAATGGAAAAAAAACCCAAGTTTTTTGTAAGGTTAGTTTGTTCACCTTGTACAGGAATTGCTAGGTCACAGCCTGAACAAATGGCTGAACATGAGGTGACAAGATGTGGCTAACCCAGGTAGCTCAGGTGCAAGGTATGCACCTGAGTGACTGAGAGGGGTGGACCCTCCTCACCTTCATTTAAGGGTTAGCAGCCAAGTGAGCAGAATCTCTATTTAGAGATTGTGCCCTTCTTGAGACTCCACTAGCTTTTTGGAAAGAGTAAACCAGTTTTCTCTGCATCACTTTCTGAACAAAATCTTAATGAATACCTTCACAAGCATGTTCCTATCCTCATGGAAGGCACTATCATCACCTTCCATTGCAGCACACTCTCAACGTACTGTAACCAATTCATCTTGGTGGTCAGCTCACCACAGTTACTTCTAATTAGCTCATATAAAATAGTATGTTCAAGCCCTGTGAAATTTTAACTCAATTTCTTGTGAGATAACAAGCATACAGCACTTAAACTTCTAATGAATAACAGCACTTCTGATCTACTCTCTGTTGGCTGAACACCACTTCATGTGTTTTATACTACTCCAGAGAACAATTCAAAGGAAATTTCAGATATTTCTGTTGGCCTGGAGCACTGGTCTTTTAATAGGCATAAAAATCTGTTTATCTGAACATCTCAATTATATACTGAAACGTGTAAAAATAACGACTTAAGTACACCTAATATTTCATTTTTAAAATTGAAATTTGAAAAAAACAATTTGGTCACAATTAAGTTTCTGTCAACTGCTGACACAATCTTCTTAATTACTTTTACATAGCTGAGAACTGAAATATGGACACGCGCTAAGATAAGTATCTTGAAATTTTAGAAAAATCTGTTCAATTTTTACATTAAGAAAATCTTTTATTAACTAAGTCTTCTGGCTCACTGACAGGCCACCTTTTAAGTCACACCACAAAAAACTACGTACCATTTCAAGAGCTGAAGAGTATTCTAGTAGGATCCAAAGATTTAGTACTTACCGTCGTTCTCAAGGCAAGTTCCAAATAGAATTCTATTCTATTCCAAATATTTTTGGAATATTACCTTAACTTTTAAAGGCAAAAATTCTATTCTGTTCCAAATAGCATTCTAGTCATTTTTCAAAAAGTGAGGACTGGAGAAGTGTGCCACCATTAAAGTAATGGGAAGAACTCTCAACAGTTAAAATGAGCATCTTACTATTTTAACATAAGGGGAGAACTCTCATCAGCTGTATGCCTATTTCATCACAGAGAATTTGGGCATGCCTACAGCATAGGAGGTAAAAACATAACTAAAATGCAGAAAAGGAACAGTTGTTTTCAAGCATTACATAAGCACACAAGTTCTATTTTGGAAGCTTCAAAAAGTTGCCTGTAAATTAGCATAGCTTCTATTTCTACTATAAATCTTATACCCTTCACTAAGTCTAAGTAATGTGGGCTTTTAAAACATCAGACATCCAGTGGTTCATTAGTCTTGCTTTCCAGTACTTCTGTAGCTTTTAAGTAAAAACAGAAATACTGCCTATTTCTTTCAAATAGCAGATCAATAGACTGAAGCAGCGGGATGATAGAAGTGGAGATGAATAACAGAAAGAGTGAGACAGAAAGTATGTTGATTCTTCAAAACAGAGGCATAAGGAAAAAAAGGGGCAGGAGAATAAATCAAGGAAACATCCTAGGTGACCATAAATTCATAGTCTTTAAGAAATTATGTAGATTTTAAAGAAAATCTACATATGCACATGCAAAATTCTGAAGTGTTTCTGTTACCATCTTTAATAAAAAATTGCCTACTAACACACAGCATCCACTCTGCTTTCATCACGATCTTCCACCTTCCTTATTTATAGCCTTATTCACTTATTTTCCTCTGTGCTTCCAAGCAAAAGACCAACACAACATAAGCCACCAACAGTCACAAACCATTCAAGCAACCCAGAGTTCAAGAGAAATGCAATATCAGCCTAGCTGCTCCTCACTCCCACAGCAGACTTTTCAAAGCAGCATCATTAGAGTACTGCAGGTATGCAGACTGCTGCCCTACATTTCAAGCAAGGGGGAGATAAAGGGCAAGGATGACTGTATCTAAAGGTTTAACAGTTTATCTGGTCTGCTTTTTCATATCTACTAAGAAAGAGTAAAAGGTCTTGTAGCCAGACTCACTTTCTCTACAGTTCTGTAGCTCTAAGCATAACACAGCACGAATTACTGTTATTTCATACAGGTCTCATACAGTTATGTAAGAGATTGGTAAAACAAATTAAGGACTTTGAAATGTCATCATTTAATGAAAGTTCAAATGATCAAACTTCAAAAATGCTACTCTTTCCAAAGGTGACACTGGTCTCCAGAAAGAGAACTTCAATTTGACAGCAATGAAGTCTTAAGACCATTACAAACTGACGCTCCATTTCTCCAAATCCTATAAAACTAAGCAGATTTAGTAGATTCATTGCTGTGAGGTACTCCATGGGGCACAGGGAGCAACAAAAAAAAAAAAGAGTAGCAGCTACTAAAAAGCAAAACGCTGGGTTACTAAACACTGAAAAAAGGATGAACAGCTGTGTTTCCCTGAAGTATACAATGGAAAAGATACCAGTTAGAAAGACGTAGTCCAACAGACTGAAGATGGAAAGGCTCCAAGTTGGAAAGGAAACAAAAATGGGAAATGAGTGAGCATAAAAGAACCACAATAGCAAAGCAAGTTGATAAAAAACAATTTCAAAAGGAAGTTAACGTAACAGAGCACCTACAGGTCCAACCATCTGTTACCTTAAGTTTTAAAGGCAAAAATTTGAATACAATCGCTTAAGAAAAAAGTGAAATGACTACTTACATGTTTTTGCCGTTGTTGTATAAAAAACTTCTTCCTTTTAAAGGAAATTTTTAATATGTTCACCCTGAAAGAGAAAGGCAGACCATGAAACACTAAATAATATTGGAAGGGAAAATAATAATAATAATAATTAAAAATAACATGGTGTGCAGTGAGTGTAAGAGATTACAGTTGTTAAACATTCAGTGAAAAATATGCAATCATCTCCTGTATGTTGAGTGGCAAACAGACGTCAAGAAACTCAAGATTTTAGCTAAGGAGGAAAGGTCTTTTGAAAATTAAGGTTCTTCCTCATTTACTCTTTAAATAGCTCACATAGCAATTCTCTCCCACCAAATCTATTCTTGCAGTAAAAACTTGATGACATCCTTTAGTAGCTGCACAAATGTTAAACATGTCAAGTTTGTATAGCTTAAGAGTTATATGACAACTGTGACTAAGAGAACAAAATTTAAGACCTTAATGACATGACAAGATTGGTCGAACAGTATCTAAAATTGCCCAGAAATTTCACAGAACATTGAAAGACAATGTACTCTTAACAACAAAAGCATTGTAATCATAGTCATACTTGACGGATGAGAACTGTAAGAATGGGTGTTAATCTTTTTTTCACATATTATTAACACTGTAAAAAAAATACAACAAACTATATAGCTGAAATGAATACTTTTCAATACATATGTGGTATGAATAAAGATTTTAAGGCTAGGATTACACTGGAATTGGTGCTTAAGAATATAATCAAAATGAAAAGTGTTTATCAGTTTTGCTAGATTAAACAAACTTCTAGGTTCCCACACATTTTCCGACAGCTAAACAAGATTTGTCTCAATACTTCTCTTCAGTAATTGAAATCTACACATTCTGGTAAAAAAATTCACTGTCTGTAATCAGGTGGAACCACATGGATAGCTGGAGAAAGCTATTTCAGGTCTGACCAATATTTGTGGAAAAAGCCATCTATACCACACAAAAGATTTTCAGAAGGTTGCTACTAAAGGTCTTGAAATACTCTGTTAACTGCTAAAATTTCACAGCATCTTAGATTTTCAGATACAAAGCATATAAAAAATCATCTCAGTTCTTAACATGGTTTTCACATCACTCAGCAAGTAGAACCAAAGCATATAATCCATTCTCCATTCCTGTGCAGGATGCACTGTCACAGAGCAATTCTCCTTGTTCACAGAGGAGATCATATATGCAAGTTACCAACAAGTGAACTGAAAGAACAATTCCTACTGTTGTATAAAAGGGGCAGAAAACCAAACCTCAGAAAATTGCTCACTTCCAAAAAAATATTTTCCCTTATCAATTACAGAGCCACAAATGAACAAGAATTTCATTCATAGTATTCCTAGGCAACCAAATTGCTGTTCAAGGTACTGGAAAGTTTTAATAACATCCATCTTTTTTTGTAAGGACAATTCTAGAAATATCTGCCCCACTTGACTTGCTGCCTGAGGTGATAATGATCTGTACTGTATATCTGTAAGCTCTGCATTCCCATCTTGCCCACAAGTCATATAAATTTGTAGTAGTACTTACTGAGGTGGAAATCATTACTATCTATCTTAATGTTTGTGCTACTCTGGCTGAAGTAGTACTTTTCTAGTTTCTTTCCTTTCATGTTTCTTTACTTCTGCTTACACTCAGCATTTGGAGTTGTTCACACAGTTGCTGTCACTGCTCTTAGGCAAATGTGGTGCCAGCAGAAATACAAAACACAAAAGAATGACCTTGCAGACTAAGCATAACATCCTCCAGCTAACAACAAAAAAGTACCAGCACCTTAAAACACCAAGACTCTCTCCATCTCTCCCCACTTCTTTTAAAACAATTTTCTGCATGACCACATAACCACTTCATGTCAATTCAAGGCAATAAGTCTCTTTTATTTCAGTGTATATACAACACACTTCTCAATTCCACTCATTCTTAAAGCATAACTAAGCCTATTTAATTCAGTGACAAACAACACTTGCTAATGTGACAGTTTTATGTAACATTAACACAAAATCATTTGCAGCACTACGCCTATTAGTCAAGGCAATGTTCACATACAGCACAAGTCACAGACTAAAGCAAGAGATTAAGGCATTGAAGGATTTAGATTTAACAAGGATTTGAAGGTGTCACATCCAAAATATGAGCTGAATGGATTGCAGTTATTTTAACAGGTGGCTCAGCTGCCCCTACCACTCACTAATCATCTGTCCAGTGAACATGCAGCTTTCATGAAATATCAGAATTCACCATTTATTTTTAAAATGCTAAATAGCTGAAGCACAGTGACCATGATACATTTTTGGCTCCTGTCTTTCTATCATTCACAAGGGTCAAATCAGATTCGTCACTTACTGAACCATAGTTACTTATTTCTAAGCACCATGGAGGTTCTGCTGCAAACAGCTGGTATTTTTTGACCCGAAGGAAAAATACTTCTTAACTGTAAATCTTACAGTTTGCCCTAGGAAGATTCAGTAGGAAAGCTCCTGTCAAATGTTGTATATATAAGACTCAGTTCAGTAGTTTCTTGATTTTAGCTAGCAATAAAGCATATATTCCTTTAGCAATTTCTCTCAAGTTATCAAAGCAAAGAATCTGCATCCCATCCAGTGAACAGCATATAATACACTACCTTTGCTGCTGATGTAGAACAGAGATGAGCCTGTATATTTTTGCCTTTATTTGCCTATATTTACCTGCCAAACAAACCTGGAAATGATCACATAATAGTAAAGCACCCCAAGAATAATTTTCTGGAGAATATGAATTTTTGGGTTAAATCCAAAGTTGTTTTTAAAATCTGCCTTGACTTGTGTTGCTTCTGCCTAAGTGCACAGTTCCTAACAAAGTTTGCTTTCATTTAAAATCCTTCCTTTACCAAGGCAGGGCAATCTATTCACTGCCTCTCTGTTCCCAAACACCTTTGGTTCCCTTTGACTACTACCATACAATACAGTTATACTGATATCCATTAACGCTGCAGAGCATTTTGGTATTGGAATGAGTGCTTTGATGGTATTTGCTGCCACCTTGAGTTTCACCATGTTTATGCTGAAGCCTCCTCAGTTCACAGGAAGATGACTTACTACAAGCAGTTACATAAAAAGACTAAATAACAATTCCAATTATCTGAATAGGTTTTTGCATTCTCAGGCATACAATGCTTCTTGAGAAGCCTCCTTCATGCTTTCAACGCAACCAACATACATTAAAACTACAGATACTGCCAAAATGTATTCCACTTTGATGTCTAAAAAAAAAATTGAAAGTATACACTATAAGTGCATACAATACTAGCTAACATACTTACCTGACAATTTATTATTATTTTTTAAATCAGTAGGGAGGGGTTAGAATGGAAGAAATGGACACCATTCCTGAATGAATAACTATAACCTACTCAGAAAATATCTGAAGTCATCCCCTATGTAGTGGGTTTACGCCCTTTCATTCCTTGCAACCTGAGAATACAATTTTAAAGAAAAAGTAGGAAAGCTTGAAACAACTGCAATAGCAGTCAATAGAAACTACTAGCACCCGTAACCGCTGTTTCAGGAGAGAAAGTTATTCAAACTGAAAAAATGTTTTTGTTCCCACCCCATTTTTTTTTCTTTTCTTTTGTTTTTGTCAGTTATAGTAGTTTTATGTGCAAAATGTTTTAGCAGCTGTTTTATACTCCTGAAGAGCAAGACGGAATAAAAGTACGTAGATTGCTTCAAAAGTAACATCTCCTAACACAATAAAAAAGGAGACATTTGTTTGAGGCAGTTCTTGAACAATAGGACATTGTGCATTCCTCTTGCCTTATATGCTGTAAAGCACTGTTTCCCTTCTATAAAAAAAATATATATAGTACTGGATTTTAAGATATTGTCACTATGGTTTTCAGGTGTTGCCCATTCATGCCAAAGGTCACTGAAGTTGGCACCATAAGCCTTGCAAAAGATAGAAAGTGTGCCTGCAGTTGCAAATTTTTAAAATCCGCAGCTGTTTCAAGAAGCTGGGAGATTGACATATGAAAGGATGGAGCTCGGGGCACAAAGATGAGAGATAGAAGTCTTCTATGCAGTAGTGTGCATTAGAGGTGGAAAAAAAGCAAGACACTACTGTGCTATATGAAAGCATTATTGACATGCATTTGTGAGAGCTACAGTATATTTAAGTTGAAAGAGAAGTCACTGCAATGAAAAGAAAATCCAGAGACTATATGGTACATTTACCATTAAAATTTAAATGGAAACCTATTTTATTATTTTATCCTAGGAAATACCTATTAGATTATGTTCCTAATGATCTGACGGAAGAACTTGTGCATTTAAGGAAGATTGCTTATAGGCACTTTCTTGCATAATCAAGGTGCAAAATGCTAGTAGTACTCACTGAAATACATTATCCTGTCATGAATACAAGAGCTTAATAGTTTTGCTGATAACTTTCTTCAGAAAAACTGTTACAAATTATGTGAGGAAGTTACGTATAACATGATGAAACTGTACTTTCTAATCTAATTACACTTATTTTAAAGAAGAAAGACGGAAACATTCTTTTCTTTCTAATCCAATCAAAAAATCCTAAGGAAAAGCCAAACCACTGTATCATTTGCCACTTACTTAACAGGTCTTACTATAATATAAATAAACTACACAAATAATACTCATAACTAGAGCTTTCCTAATTTCTGATGTCATTCACATTAGACACCTTGTATACACTGCTTCTTCCCATAGAGAATATTTTCTAAAACACTGTCAGGTGTTGTCAGAATCGCTGTACAATGAAAGTCTCTTCCCCCATAGACTAAATCTTACAAGTTAGCATTAGACAGCCTTGTCTGATCTAAAAATTTACGTGTTAAATTATTCCTGTTTGAATAAATCCAATATTTGAAGTAATTCATTTTGCATTCTGTGAAGCGAATATCAGACCATTAGCTGTTGAGCTTCCTAATTATGCTGATTTAAACAAAAGCAAAAAAAGCCAACACACATCTTTACAAACAACAGTAGAACACATCTCTAAAACAAGATAATCCTATTTATACACTGACATATTTATGTGAATGGACTCAAACAAGATTTCACATAGTTCAAACGTCCTTAAGAATTAACAAGTTTCATTTTCACCTCAGCTTAAGGAAATATGTTAAGTCATAAAGAACAAAATTATATACTACAAATTTCTTTGAAATAAGTGTTAAAGCAGATGAAAATACAATTTAAAAGACCAGATATAATTCTTTAATAATAAATGAATTTACCAGGGATAGAAGCTTGTGCAGATGAGTTTTCTATACACAGCAATTCCACTGGATGCAATACCAATCATGAGATCTAGATTATGGAGATCCTGCAACAGAAAAGTACTGTAAGAGCAGAAGCATAAGTTTGTGCGATTCCTATTAATCTACTTATAAATTCATTTTCAAGTTTTCTATACTTAAAATATAACTTCCCTAGCAAAAATTCAATCACGTTAGGATTTTTTTTTTTTGTCTTTTTCTTTGATCCTATCTGCTAGGTACTGTAGTCACTAAAACAAGCTGTAATGCTAACCTAACTACATTAAATAGTCTTTAAGACAATATGACACTGAAGATTCCAGCCTAGCCTTACATAATTCAGCACTGGTAAACAAGCTGAATCTCAAGATTAGCCAGTCAAAATGTTGAAATGGGACAAAATTAGTCTTATTCCAAGCTGACCTCCAAAGACATCTTACAAAAGACAGGGCAAGAGGTAGCCACAATTCTGCATACAGTAAACCAATATGCACATGCATATGAATATTTGATACACAAAACTGAATCAACTGTTAATTAAGAAAGAAACCTGTGTATTAGCTTAACATGCTAAACTGGAAAGATGCATCCATAATTTACAATAGCTTTATGATTACTGAGATCGTCAAGAAAAAATAAAAGCTTAAAAATAAAGCAAAAATTTGAGGTTAACAAGAAAAAAAAAGAGGAAAGAACTGAATGCTCAATTTGAGGCGAAACCTAAACTGATGCTACAAGAACTACAAATCTTGGCTTACATCTTCTCTGTGAGGGACCTGTAATAGTACATCACAGACAAGTTCCTAAATAGAGCAGAATACATGCATCTATCTACACAAGCATAAAACCCACTAGTTAAAATATCAGGTTTGACTCAAATGTAGCTTCAGATTACTTTGCAAAGGATGGCCAAAGGTTCTATTAAAGCCTTCAGTAGCTTCACTGCTCCTCTAGATGGTACTCTGTGCTCACTGAAATACACATAATTCTTGTATATTCAATCCCTATTTCTTTATATTAGTAAGATACAGAAGAATAGACCACATAAACACACCGTTTGAACTAAAAACAGTGAAAAATCTACAGCAAATCCTTTAAAAATGGTTGAATAAAACTGTGATACAGGTACATGACTGAATTAAGCTGAATCCAATTTGCAATAGTTTACAAACCTGTAAAATATCACAGTACTTCACAAAGAATGCACATAACCTCAATATTTAATAAATAATACATCAGCACTAAAAACTGACAAGAGAGACACCATTTCTATTTCTAAGAGTTTAATACATGAAAATTATATAGATAACTGTACAAACAAGCTTTATCTCAGAACAGTGCAGAATTCACTGAAATGAGAAACAATTCCCTGCTGCCCCACTTTTCCAAAGGCTGCTGCTACAGGAGGTGGTTGAACCTCCATCTGAAGATGCTCCTGGCTTGCCACAGTTTATGGCAGCATAATACAGAAATCTAGAACTTGCACCTCTTTATTTAATGTGCTGGGGAAAAAACTGAAGAGTTTTGGCAAGGGAATACATCTAATTTAGCTGCTTTTGTCCTGATACCACCAACCTAACACAGAGCAGAAGCCTGTATTATTGGAACTTGAAGCTTACTCCAAGTTCCTGCTTTAAAGAAAAAAATAATATTAATAATAATAATAATAATAAATCAATAGTCTGAAGGAAAAACAGCTTAGGAGAAAAAAAATGAAAGCCTAAATTATTTACCAGAAAAAGAACCATATAATCATAGAAAATTCCAAGTTGGAAGGGGCCCATAAGGGTCAGAGTCCAATTACTGGCTCCACACTGGACCACCCAAAATTCAAACCCTATGTCTGAGAGCATTGTCCAAACACTCCTTGAACAGCATCAGCTTGGGGCCATGCCCACTGCCCAGGGCAGCCTGCTCCAGTGTCTGACCATACTCTGATGTACTCTTTTCCTGATGTCCTGAGAATTAGCTAAACACTTGATGGGGATTAAGTAGGCCAAAGCACTCTATTTTTTCTAGAAGCTGTGCCAAAACAAACTTCATATTCTGCCTCTACCTCAGTCAAAATACCTAATCTTCCTTGCTTATTCATTTAAGGAATTCTTCTGTATTAAACAATTAATCTGAAAACAAGATCTTGGACCAATGTAAAGAAATAGGGTCTCACAAAAGAAAGATGAGGTAGGTGGGCACTTACTTTCCTTTCAAAGCATCAGTGCTATTGAACTGCACTAAAAACTGTCACGCATATACCTCTTTTTCCTTCTTTCTTTATAGAGATAAGCACACAAAACAAACAAAAAAACCACAAACAAGGTAAAAAAAAAAAGATCATGTCAGTGATCTTGTTAGTTAAATATTCATTGATTTTTAATTTCAAATGTAATTACCAATAAGATTTTTGTAGACATGGAAATAGCATTGATCTGAACTGAAGGTATCCCTTCAGTTTCTATAAGTTCCCCTCCAGAGTAGAAACAGGTTAATATCAGAACAATTATTCATCAGATCAGATAATGTTCTAAAGTAAAAAGAAGATATAGTACAGAATTCAGGAAACCTTGATATAGTTTTGAGGCATTAACTGAGTTTCTTAGTATCAGTTCATTTTTGAATATAACAACTTTAAAGGTTCTGATTGATCCTCAGAGAAATGCAGAAATGACTGCTGATGAAAACTGACCTCTGTTTAAGACACTACTCAAAAGTGTTCTGTTTGGTTGTTAGAAGGAAGCACACACTTGAGTTCTGCAGAATGTCTGACTTAACATAATAGAACACTAAGGTTAAGGAAGCTAGACATTTATCTGATGTTTCATTATCATCATCATCACCACCACAGAATGGCCTGAGTTGAAAAGGACCACAACGATCATCTAATTTCAACCCCCCTGCTATATGCAGGGTCGCCAGTCACTAGAAACATTATCCAAAAGCATCCCTCTCTGGACCACCAGTACAAGAGGACCAGTTTCTTCTGTCTATTAGCATAAAGGCCAGATGTTACCCACTTTCTCTGCCACGTAGAATATTTAAGACTAAGATTATTTTATCCATGAGGAAAAAGCTGAATTACAAGGATTCACAGAGGTAAAACCTTTCAAAACGTCAGTTTTGTAACTAGCCTCTGCTAACATCTGTTCAAAGCACTGGGATTTGGCAAAACAAGAGGGATGATTTAAGAACAGCATTAAGCAAGGAAGAGCTATGAAGAGCTATGCCAAATATTCCCGTCAAAGCTGGGGTTTCATGTAATAGTCTCAGTAAGGATGTAGTGAGGGGAGATATCTAACCTTCACTGCAGACTTCAGAACCAGAGACCATTTCAGCACACTCTTTCAAACTTCAGAAAAGTACTGTTTATGGCCAACACGAACTACCAGATGAGACCACAAGATGAACACTCTTCTGTAGGACTGCTGCTGCAGCACAGGCTTACAACTTTGCAAATAACAGAGTATCTACCAGGACAGAACACCAGGAACGTCCACTCTGATGAAACCCAGTGCCATTACTTTCCCCATAGGCTTTGAAAAATAAATGAATAGCAACAAAGGTATTAATTCAGATGGAAATAGTAGCAAAAAAATCTGCATCTTAGCTGCCTGGAATAGAGATGCTTTGACTTAAATGTGCTCTATTCGATTCAGATCATACAAAAAATACTGTTTGGTGTCAGGTAGGGTAGGTGATCATGACTAGTAGTCAGCCATCCTGTATCCATTAGATACAAGAGAATGCATTGAAAATAAGAAATAGACTGTTAAGCAGTATTTCCAGAGAACATTACTACTCTGAACTGAAATCTTGTTTGGCTGAAAAATGTCTCTCTCTGCTCTGAACTGTCCTTCCTACTTGACACTGATCTCTACTGAAATCCCGTGTATATTTCAATAGCCTACAATTCATGAAGTCTATAGGAAATTTAAATAATTTCAGAAACTGCATCCCATGGATTTTAAGAGAATAGAATGTTTGTCTCATCATGAAAGTCTGGAATTTATGGTCTCTTATCAAAACAGCGACCAAAAAAGTTAAAAGGCACAGACTGATGAACTGAAGGCATACAGGGAAATCTGAGGTGTGATGGGTAAGGGGCTCTTCAGCAAAGCAGGAATTTCACAGAGATAACAGAATGGACAGTGAATCCAGACGAAGTCAGATTTAGGATACTCATTTAACAAAAGGGTAAATTTTTACATTGTCAAAACACAGTGTCATAGCACGCATGAACAAATTTCCGGTATCACTTACCCACAACCTCTGCATTTGAAACAATGTATCTTAACAATAAAACTGGCCTCTCCTTATTCCCCTATCAGATGTTATGAGCATAGTTTCCATTCTAATCCCTTTAGTCTTTTCCTTCCCTTTCTATTCCCACATTCCCTTAGAAAACAGCCACTACTGCTTTTTAAAATAATTTTTCCGTGAGTATGAATGTAATTACAGTAGCTTTATACATGAGCAGTTTAGGGATCTTTATTAATTCAATGTACTCACTCATTTGTGATAGCATACATTAAAAAAAAAGAAAGAATTTTACTGAGGAAAGAAAATGATCCTTTCTATCCACTGCACAAGGTCGCAAAAGATCTTAAAGCCCATTTAGTCCAGCCATTTATTTCCCACCAATATTTCTCCACTAAACCACATCTTGTAGTGCTACATCTAAAAGTTTCTTGAACACTTCCAGGGACTGTGACTCCACTACCTTCTGAGCAGCCTGTGCCACTGCCTCACCACTCTTTCTGAGAAGACATTTTCCCTGATATCCAATCTGAACATCCCCTGGTAAAACTAATGATATTTTCATTAAAATCCTCAATATAGTCAATAAATCTCAGATGAATGTTAGTAAAAACAGCAGTCATCTTCATCAAGGAGCTCAACCTTCTGCATTGCACATCACTACATTTTTATGTTGCAAGATATATGCCAAAATAGTTCACTAATCCGTAAGAGTACAAATTACCATTTGTGCACCAGGATGCAAGAAAAAGGAGTAATGGCAATTCAGATACTGTAATTAAACAATGAAATGCCAGTAGACAATGAAATGCTAGGACATATTTCTTATCAATGAATACCCTGTGTCTAAACAGTTTCAAATACATCTCTAGTGGTCATCTACCACGTGGATTCACCCTATATTCAGAGGATACAGAAATAAAAAATGGGTCAGTATTTTTAATGCTGTGTAAAGAAAATGAATGCTGTTTCTATTAAGACATTCATAAACTTTAGTAAATCTCTTAGGTAAAATGTACAGCAGCATTAAACTATGCTTTTAAGATGCACTGTAACTCCTTTGAGATTAATCTAGTTTTTATGTTTATTGTAATTCCAGGATCTAAGTTACTAAAACATTTGAAAAAATATCAAATTCAAAAGTGACACATGGTAAAGTCAAGAATAAAATGCTACTGTTTTTTATTGCTGTATATATCTGCAAGAATGTGTATATAACATTTTTCAAGTGAAATATTGCAATGTAAACATACTCTACCACTGTGCAATTCCACTCCATAGAAATCAAGCGTCCGTGCTATATTTATGTAGCAGGACTCCGCTTCAGATTGCTTGAGGCCACTGAAAGAAGGCAAAAAAAAAAAGATTTAGACCATAGACAAAATAACACATGACATTAAATTTATTCCAAATGCAGGAAAAAAAAAAAGAATCCTACTATCCAACATCTGTGAAAAACTTCATTAAAGAGTTCCACAAAGTACTTTACTTGTTAAGGACTTCCTAAGAGACTCTCAAAATTGCCCAGGTCACAAAACAGTGTCATTGCCTCAGTCACTCAGCACTTTTCAGAAAAATCATTCTTAGCTGTTTTGTTTAAAGGGATAAGGAAACTAGGCCTCTATAATGGCTTCTTTTATAACAAGAAACTGTATCCACAGACATTATATTGTTTACTATCTCAGAAGGAAGTTGTTAAGAAGAAACATTAGAAGCAGGAATCTATGCAAAAGTAAAGGGAAAGGAGAGAAGAATATTAAATAAGTTAATGTTATAGAACCCAACAAGCTAAATTTACAATCGATAAACAAAATCCTATTTTTCCCCCTGGTGTTAGGTGTGAAATGTGGTGCCAGACTTGCAAGGATTCTATATCTTCTACTTTTTAAAAAAACTTTTTCAACTCTGACAGACATCTGCTTTCAAAAAAGAACTCGAAAATCCTCACACATCAAATTAACTTTAGAACTTCATAGAACTTCTACATGGAATCTCCTAGGAGCTGTAAAACACAAAAAATCAACAAGTAATCCCTACATAGTTTGCTTTCCCAGGCAGCCTACTAATTATTCACCTGAAAGGATTGCAGCCTGAAGAATATCCCCTTAAACACGACAAGAAGGTATTTGCTTCCAACAAATTGTAGGACCATGATTTTATTATCTGAGAATTGATTAGAAAAGAGCCCACTCTAATGCAAAATCTGCTGTAGGCTACTGACATCATGTTGTGCCAGCAATAATCCTGGTCTTGCAGCACAGACCAATGAATCAGACACTACAGCATATTAAAGAAACTGTCAGAACAGAGATCAAACCATTACCATCTACCCACATTTAAGAAAAGCCTGCAGATACTATTGTCTCATAGCTACCACTAAACACAGGAAAAAACAAGAAATAATGCCCATTAAATTATGTTAATTAAATGTGATTTAAACTAACAACCTGTAAGAAAAACACATTATGTTACATTAGGACTTTAGATAGAGAGACATTTCATATAAAGCAGTAATTTTAACTTTTAAAGAAGTAATTTTCTTGAAAGTCAGCCATCTATTACTTCAAGATGCTATTCTTCCTTCTCAACTCCAAATCATACTAATCTTCCCTCAAACTGCCCTTCTAACGATTATCATTCTTCTTGAAAGCAACTAGAAAGACCAAGTTATCCTGAGTAAGAAAGCCATTGTCAGCAGCGTACTTGTCTGATAGAGAGGAAGGTAACACTACAGGTCCCTGGTGGTGGGGAGTTACTGAGTGAAATAGATAAGCAAGAGAAAAGAATCCCTCTATAGACTTAGAGATGAACACAGAAAGAAAATATCTGAAGCTGTACTAGTTTGAAATGATAGCAGTTGCTTTCTCAGCACCTACATTCTACTGAATATTATCTTAAGCATATTCATAGAACTTCTAAGTTTTGGCAAAAGAACATGAAATCCAGTTAAAAATATTGCATCGGAGCTAGAGCAAATATGATGCAATGCATCTTCTCAAATCTATATTGCATTTCAGTAATTATGATCATTCATTTTTTCCCCATGATAGCTGAAGAATGAAAAAACAGATTTTCACAGGGCTGGGTTTGAAAACTTAAGAATGGTTTAAAAAGTTATAATAATTTTCAGATATTGCACAGAACCTATGGCAAATACTACTAATTCTCTCCAGATCTCATTTCAAAACATTGCTCTCCTCAAACAACAAGATAAATTCACCCTTTCACATTTCTTTCTTAGAAGGTGCAGTGAATACCACAATCATTCTTGTCAATTATGTTGCTGGCGCTAAGCTCATGAAAACAATGTCTCAGACAGCAGTATTCACTATACTTGCCAAGAGGGATGCAAGGAATACTGCCAAAATACACAAAAACCTGTCTCCCTCTCCCTGAACTCCAAAATAAATATGCCTGAAGACTTAAGCATCAAAAAATGTTGTAAATGAATGAAGAATTATTTTTCCTAGTGCAGTCCATTCAAGTATTGTTACTCATAACTTTTATTATATGACCTATGTGAACAGAGTGCTTGCAATATAGCATTTAAACTTCAGTCTGCTAATGGCCTTAATCTACCAAAAAAGCTACCAATGGCCTTAATCTATCAAAACCATTCAACAAAAGCATCAGTTTAACTGAAAGAATCCAGAAGTGCTTTCCAACAGACTTCACCTGTTCACACAGAGTTTTGTGCAGACTTCTAACCTGTCCTCTGTAGGACATAGTCATATCTTTGGCTATGATAACAGTAAAGCCATGACCTCAGCATACCCACTCCAAGACTATCCAGAGTTTTTCCTAAGTGTCCTGCAGGACAAGTTCCTCCTAAAGATGATTGAATTTATTCATGCCTGTCTACAAGTCCCTTGTAAAAGGCATCTGAGCTTTCTGGAAACTTCTGGAATCAGATTAACTGTGAAGGAGCAGAGGCCTTGGGTGTTGCGTTCCAGAACTTGAAGATCTAGAAAAGCAGACCAGATTATTACCTACGCTAAAGGAAGAGTTGCTGTGTGAGTTCAGTAGTTATCTGTTTTACTCCTAGAACTGACAAAACAGCATGCATGTTCTGGACTGTGCCAAGCAGCCACACATGAAGTTCTGAACTACTCACTACATCCATCAGTAGTAAAGAAAAAAGAGGGAGAGGTCAGGGTACTGAAATATGGCAAAGGAAAAAATTTAAGGAATATTAAGGGGTGAAGAAAATTGAGATATTTTAAGGCAGAAATCAAATTAACTAGGAGAGTAGGGAACTAGCTCTGCTACAAAAAAGATAAGGGCAGAACATGAGTCTCTAGTGATTCAGATTTCACTCACTCAAATACAAACAATTTCTTAGGTTAACATATTTGCATGCAGCATGTGAATATCTGAGTAATACCTCTAATTCTAAATCTTCAGTCCTACCAGGAACAAATTAGCAAGGTTAGCAAGAGTAATCAGCAGTAGACTTCAACTGGAATAACCAATTACAATCACACTCCGGAGAGAAGAGAAAGCACTGTTATCAAGGCTTGGCTCTCGTATGCACCATTCCTTCCACTGACAGACAAAAAAATCTTTAGGATTTCGGAAATGTTCAATGATCCAAAAAAAATCACATGCATCTTATATAGTGCTCTAGATGGTTGCCATTAACAATGTACTATGCTAACTGTTCCACTCCTTACGATAGTTAGAAATTTATTTTATAAAGTTTCAACACACCTATATGCTGAAAGCAACTATTTCAATTAATATACATTATATGAAATGTAATTAACTTGAAGTGCAAAAGAAAGATTTATTTATTTTTTTTTTTTTTTAGGAGTTTATAAGGCAAGAGAAAACAAAAAATTAATGTTACCTATGTTGTTCATGTAGTGCTTCCACTTTGGTAAGAAAATCTTTGTTCTGCTCTGGTATAAAGTTGTAATTGGACAGATATCCTGAATGATGTATTGAAGCATCATAGTCTCCAAGTTGTGCTGTTGGAAAATAAGAAACACAAAGCTTTCATAGTTAGTTATCACTTACAAGAAATCCCTTCTCTTAATTAAATAAAACAAAATATTCACATGTAAGGAGAAATGCAAGAATTATGAATTATTTTTCTACAGACAAGCAGTGTTGAACACAGTTAACTGTATTATAACCACAAAGAAAAACTTTTCAAAATATGCTTACCCTAACTATAGTCTCCGGTACTGAAAGAAATCAGTACTTCACTTACTCATACAGCCAGTTTTGCAACCCCAATCTGTAACACCACCACACAGTACGTGACACAGACGAGTAGCACTGAAACATTAAAGGGAAGCAAAATGCTCCAGAAAGACAAATGAAATCAATTTGAGATATCTCTACTTGATCACAACAAATGGAAGACTGATCTGTCACTTAAAGAGGAACTAGTCTGTACACTGTACTAACTGTTTTAACTAGAACCCTGGAACTGCCCTAAGAATTTTCAGATGTTAATTGCCCTACTGAACATGAGGCATAATATAGCATAAGAAATAACTCCTAATTTACACACAATAGTAACAAGTTACCAAAATTAAACATATGCTTATGGATACATAAACTAAAAACAATATTCCTTAAAATTTTATCCCTTAATTAATGATACAAAATAGTATATATTTTTAGTCACTAGATAAAAGTGAATTCTTAAACACAGTTGGTGGGATATATGAAAACACAGAAGTACAAATGATCACAAATCTACAGCCCCAGTCCACACAAATATTATTTAAGAACACATCAGCATAAACTTATGCCCTAGAAGAGATAGATATACATTTACTCTTGCTATAAAGATGCAAGGTTTGTAGCAGGAAGGTGGTTGATTCAACCTGGCAGATCTATCCAGCTTCAATTTAGCAAACAAATTAAAACCTTTATTTCATGCTAACTTTGGTACTTTTATGAAATACTTTTAAGACATTAAACCTAAAATTATGGGATATTTAAGCAAATCACTAGAACTTGTACAGTTCTCCTTTTCTGCTTGAGAGCATTAATTTTTTTTTTTTTTAATATATATGCAATAAACCATAAAGATCCCCAAAATTTTCTGTATGGTGTGTAAATTAGCACAGGATAAGCATTTGTGTTTGCAATCTATACTGCAGCACGGAAAACTGCAACTAAATCATGAAGTTAAAGAACCTTTAGGAGCCATTCTCTTACCATTATGTAACAGAAGAGAGACGCAAATGATTTAGACTAGAGAAAAAGTAAAAATATAAAAAGGTGTACTTCAGAAATAACTTACAGGTACAATAACTATGGTGTATTTGTAATGCAGACTATAACTGGTATTTGCTGCTTGTATATCCAAAAAGCATGTCATGTACAGCCTAGGAAAGTGAATCACCATGGTACAAAACAGTTTCTTAATAAATGCAGTCAGAACCTAATACAGTTGCACACATAACTGTCAACATCAAGTGAAGTATTTAAATAGAAAAAGAATGTGGAATGATGAACAATGAGTAATTTAATTTTAAATACCAATGTTCCTGCAACGCTTTCATTTTTCTTCTTCTTTCATAGGGTAGTCTGAATTTTAAATTAGTAACAAAACAGGTGTCAAAAGACTAAATATTATTTCAGATTTAATATTTGAATATGTATTATTAGAACTAAAACACATTTGAATACTGCTGTCAATGCATCTTTGAAGAAAACAAAATGAAGCCAAAACAAATCAGAATATTCAGAAGTATAACAGGAAGCAGATTATTATTTATTTTTAGGAATATCAGCATATTAACAGAACACCAGGTTTCCATCAAGAACAAGGCTATGACTATGGAACAACTGAATATACAGACATCTAGTAGAAGCGAAAAAAGAAAACTGCAGATGAGAGTAATTGATTGAAGACTTTTCTCAAGTGATCTTTTTTATGAAACATAGCTTCCTTTTTTTCATATCGTTCCAGTGAAAGAGCTCTGTTGCAGTAAGTCTGAATCATGTTTTTGTCAACAGGAAGAGACCAGATTACCAGGAATAAGACAATATAATTGCCCACTGGAATTCATTTGTATTAGATTTTTTTTTTTTTTTCATTCGTTATGAGATTAGTTCTTCTTGCTCATCTTCTATATAAGGAGTTGGCTCAGGCCTCTTTCTCACTTCTCCTAGCTAACAAGGTCATACCAATCCAGGGAGCAGCTCAGAGTACTACTTGCTGCTTCTTCAGCTCCCCAGACAACGCTTGACTGTCACAGTGAAAGAGAAACTATAAATGCTGATTAGCAGACATTTTGAAAGAGTAATGGTCTTGTGCAGGATTCTATTTATCCAAAAAAAAAATATTAGGGTGTGTCAGGACCACAGTAAAATCCGTAAGGCTTCCACCTCTTTATTGGATTTTTGCAGCAGAGATTGAGGGAAGAGTATATTGAGATACTTTCAAAGTTTCTCCTGACATAACTTCTGATCACCCAGCTCAGCAGCAAATATAGACTTAGTGGGTATAAAGTTGCAGTAAAAAAAAAAAAAAGTGGGGTGTGCTTCCTTCAATTTTTTAAACCCATTTCCCCATTCTAACTATCTATTGCTCTTTAAATCATTATAACTCATAGAAGCAAGAAAACTAAACCAAGAAGGAATAAAAAAAACAGTTATTTTCATGTCAGTTTCCTGTATTTTACAGTTTGGTATTTAATATGACAATCTTTAAAGAAGGGAACATGATACCATTCACGCAGAAGGCAACATTCAATGTAAAAAGGCATTTCTTTTATAACCCAGTAAACAGATATTGTAATAGCCAAGGAACCATATAATAATTTTCCTTGGGTGAAGTCCCAATTCAGAACTGTATGAATTTAAGAATGTTTGGAAAAACAACCAAAAGATCTTGAGCTCATACATGTTGACACAGGATATGATCTGTCTATGCCCTACTGTAGCTTAAATAAATCATGTTTTCTTCAGATTTCTTACAAAGAATTTGCTCAGTTAGAACAATGTGGGAGGCCATATATTTTTGTCTCTTTTTCCTGACAGCAGAAAAACTTCTGTGCAGGAAGGCATCAAAGGAATGAAAAGCCTAGTTCAAGAGAGGGTAAAAATTAAAAAAAAAATGGACATTTTGCTAGAATTCTGATGCATGAGATGAGGAGACCAGAAAATGAGAAAAGATGACAGGCAACAGACAAATCTGAACACTAGCAAGCAACTGAAAACTTGAAGTGGAAAGGCCCTGAGCAACCTGATCTGACTTTGAAGAAGCTTCTTCCAAGCTGAACTTTTCTGTGGCTATACTGAAAGGATGACATGAAAACTCCTGCTATGTGGCCAAGATACTGCTTGCTTGTCTCCAGTTTTAGAAATTGCTGTTGAATACGAACAGCATCAAAATGTTATCAGTTCGATCTGGTCTGGTTCTTTATTTCCATAAAGATGTCTGATAGATCCACAGAGTATAATTCTAATGAGATCAGCTGTTAGTTTCAGGGAATAAAAGTTAGTTTTAGGGAATAGAAAATCATCACTGTTTATGTGAAAAACCTCAGAGAGCTGCATGCAGAAGACAAGTTGATTCTGAATTCTGGAAGTTTTCTTTTGATGTCTATGTACAAAGCAATAGCACCAGAACCAGTTTTTACATATAGGTGCTCTAAATAAATACAAACAGAGACATCAGAAGGCCAGTGTATGAATGCTTCATTTACTAAGCATGATGTGGAATCAGTTGGATATTACAGAGAATTTGGTTCAAAAGAATCCTCAGAGAAGTTAGTGCCTGAGGGTTTAATATCAACTTTCTGAAGACCTGAAAAATAGGTATACCTGAAAAAGATCGATTAGTTTCACAAAGAATTTGTAACTTTTTGCAGTGTTGAATATTTTACTTGACACTAATAAAACAATAAGTGAAACAATAAGTGTGGTCTTAGAAAAGGACAATATCACAAGCAGCTCATGTTGCCAGAAGAACGGAAAATTTCCAAATGATGGGACAAGTTCAGGATATAAATTATACAGCAACAGCAGTTCCTCGTGATGTTATAGGAATAACATGAATGGAAGTTTAAGTAGAAAAAGGTTAAATTAGTTAACTATTTACCAAGGAGTAAAAATCATCAGGTGAGAAAACTGCAATCCAAGAATAAAATATAGTTAGAGCTGCATAATCGGTTTACATATGAGGATCTCAATCATGAGTGATGTGCAAAGATGAGAGTAAAATATAATATTGAAAGTTGATTGTAAATTTATCTTCGTATGAGCACTAAAATACATTCAAGTAGTTTAGGTACTGCTAGTTACTGTTGAGAAATAGCGAATGCAAGATATTCCATCATAAAAATATTTCTGGAATTAGGAAAAAAATCTACTACAGCAGAGTACAATTTTGAAGAAACATACAACTGTAGACCCTTTTTAGAAAGAGACTAAAATGACACTAAATGAACACCAAAATGTAGAGATTAAAGTACAACTAGCTATCACATGAATAAAACCATTTATTTTGATGATGCACTATAAATAGGTGCTGAATACACTTAAAGAAGCTGGTCACTTTGTAGTGAGAAGGAATGAGAAAACAGACAACAAAAGTAAAGGAAAATTTGTAGAAAAATAACTATATTTACACAACAGTGATTTTAAAGTTATCCATTAAGACTCCAGAAAGAAAAATGAGTCAAACATCCTTCTGTATTTCATTTCAGAAATAAACCAGCTGCTCATAACTCACAATTAAACATAAAAAAATAAAAAAAATCAGTAGCTCTCAAATACAAAACACTTCAGAAACCATACAATCAAAATCAGAAAAAGCACTGAGAAAAGTGAAGCATATCCCAAGCACAAGAGCCATTTTTCTTGAAAAAAACAAAACAAATAACTGTGGGGGCACAGGCAAGGAATAAGATAAAATACTTGTGAATGAGAATAATTATTAGTACTCTCAAGACATTCAGAACTTTTGTAGAACTAATGCAACTTAACACTACACTGATCTGTTACTTGTGCCTCAGAATTCACTGCAACTCAGTATCATGACTTTGAAATGTTTAAAATGTATTATATATTTCTTGATCCTTGGGAGACTTCTTAGTCCCTTTTTTAGCTATGTTGCACAGAAGTACCTACTAATAGGTTCACCCACCTTAAAAATATAGAAGAAACAGCACCTACACTTCAAGATACTGTAAGAAGTCAGTTTCCTGAGCTACAGCAACGGCCAATATCCCAGTTTGGGATTATCCACTCCAGAGATTACAGCACTGTACTTCAATGTTTTGAAGTATTATCACAGAATCGTAGGGGTTGGAAGGGACCTCCAGAGATCATCGAGTCCAATCCCCCTGCCAAAGCAGGTTCCCTACACCAGGTCGCACAGGTAGGCGTCCAGGCGGGTCTTGAATATCTCCAGAGAAGGAGACTCCACAACCTCCCTGGGCAGCCTGTTCCAGTGCTCCGTCACCCTCACCGTAAAGAAGTTCTTGCGCACATTGGTGCGGAACTTCCTATGCTCCAGATAGATCCATTATAGATTCAAACAACTATTTGCAGCATGATGAAATGATAATGGACAAACAATAACTGGATTAATGATCTCCTATGTATTGCTTATCACAACTGAAAAATGAAATTAAGGGAGAACACCCCCAAACAGCTGCAGAATTGCTGTATATAAGCTGTCAGAATCATTTTAGCAGAGCAGTTCTATGAGCTGCCAGCAGGCTCAAGGTCAGTAAGGTAGACCACAGTGAACCATGTGGAAGAAAACACAAGTATTTTAATTCATCTATTTAAGCACATTCCAATACCTTCACCACCACCAATAACATACTGGTACTGTCAATTGTAAGTGTTACAGACAATGATAAAAATGCATCTCTGACTAAACAGAATTGCAACGCACTTCAGGACAGACAAACCACATATATAATCCTTATGCTGCCTCACATACATGGAAAATAATTTCAAATATTGGAAATTCAGATCAAAGTTATCTGTATTTATCAAATCTGAATGCAGTTCCAAAGGACAAAGGCTACCAGTACTCAGTAGAGTACTCAGATAGCAGTCAGAAATTTGACCTTTGAGTAAAGGTCAGCCTCCTGATGATGTCCTTCTAGACATTATTTCCCTTCAAAAAAAGAACAGAAAAGCACAATGCCTCATGATACAAAAGGAAAAAAGTATCTCAAAACACTAGCTGCAAAGAGGCAAGTCTGCAAATTAGGAAACCTAAGATTTTGATTAATTTTTATTTTTAAAAATTATTAATAAATTAAAAGCCTCATTCTACACCTTGGCCAGAAGAATCAGGCAAAAAAAAAGTGGATGGAGAAACTCCACAGTGCAACTCTAACTTTAGAAGTGCTATTAATTTCATGAGCATGATGTTCACCTCAATCTTCCAGCCTGTCTCCTCTGACACAGATGGAAATTCAGCCTTGTCCAACTTCTACTGGAGCTCCCCAAACTGGAATAAACTCTTACCCCTAATTCCTGAAGAACCACATATTATGCTCACCTTTCCTAAAATCCTTACCTTCAAAGATCCTTTAAATAACAAGCAAACCATCAACCCCTTCTGAGTAAATGGCTAAAAAAAAGACAGGAGTGTGCTAGAGACTTCCTGTTTCTCAAAGCACAGTTAAGAAGGGAAGAGAAATAGCATCTAGAGGAGGAAAAAAATAGGCTGTCACTACTGGACAGCTGAAGCTCAAGAAAAATAAGGCTTACAAGTATTCATAGTATTTTGTGTTGACTTTGCTGCTGTGTCTCAGATTCAAGTCTCAAGCCATCAAAAGACTAACACACATGGGAGCATATTCTCACCAAATCCACAGGATTTCTTACATACCTGTAGTTAGGCACATTTAAATGCCATTGAGGAAATGGGAACTTCTACTGCAGGCAATGACAGGAAACAAGTGCTTGTAAATCAGCTACACATTTTAAATTTAAAAATTAACACAAACACATCCATTATTTAATTTTATAGACTGTACAACATTCTCATTTTACTCTGATAGGAAACAAGGGGTACAACCCATTAATAAATTTGGTTATTTTAATAGAAGAGCATGCCTTTAGTCAAGCAGTTTTGAGATATGAGATGCACCTTGTTAAACTCTCCTTAAAAAAGGATTTCAGAATTCACTAATTGCTTCTGTCAAAAATGCATTTGCCAATATTAAACTAACTTAGAATTTAAAAGTTTTCAGACAGCTGTGAGACCTTCCTCTGCATACCGGAAGTTGCAAAAAACCATCACAAAATGGCTCAGCTAGAACTGTTCACAGCAGCTTCAAACAATTGTTTTTTTAAACAAGGAGATACTCCCCACCTATTAACTTAAACTCTCCTTAAAAAGAGTACAAACAGATTAAAATATCAACAGAGAACTAAAACATTTTTACTTGACAAGAATCCCAGCAAACACATTGAGATAAGGAGAAATAGATGCCCAGATCTCAGAAGGTCCTTTTTACTCAATCATTGTGTGAATGGCAATAACCTGGTAGCAAAACAGAGACTACTTTCTTTAAGTGAATATGCCCTTACTGAATGTTTCATTATTTGCTGAAGCAAACAATAAAGGTAGGTATCATACAAACAGCAACAGCTAGGAGAAAAGAAAGGATTTTATTTTTTTAACTGGTAATACACTAATAAGAGTATGGGGCAAGTAGCTGAATGAGAAATTCCGGAGTCTACCAGCAAAGAGAAAGATTAAAACAGACCTTTCACAATCTTCACTGACCTTCATTCTGCTTTAATAAAACTAACTGCACTAGAAAGTATCTAAAGCACTGAAAGGGGAGCTCTTATAAAACTAAAGGGAAACTGGAATTACTTTGGCATTTCAGGTACACTATCCATAACATATTTTGAAAACCTTAGTAACCCTGAGCTTGTCATAAATATTTGCATTCTTCAGCACACCTTTTCTTTTTCTTGCTTTAGCACAATTGCATTGCCAATACTTCACTAAACATCTTAAGATTTTTGAGAGTTTTAGCATTCCAGTGTCTTACCACATCCCAGAGATGCAGAAGTGTGTATGCATTTTCTTTTGCAACAAAACTGGCATGTTAGCCTTCTATAGAAAACGTTCTGGTTTCAAACTCATTAAGTAGGAATGTGTTTAAAGGTTCAGTTAATAAAAAGGTAGTGAATACGATAATCATAAAACTGAATTTTTTTGCAACTACTTGGGATTTTCACAGATATCAAGAGCTTGACACTCTGTACTTTCTTCTCTGAAAACTGTATTCAAATTTTTTAGATTCATGTCCTCCTATAATTTCTGGACATTGCTAATTTCAAAGTAATTGTACAACTATTCTACTATGCTTGCCCATCCATCTCATCCATCATTTTTTTTTGTGATACAAACTTCACTGATCCTTCAAACTCTATTTTGATTTATTTTTATTTTTATTTTTTGCTATACTAAGAAAGGTCTCTCTTCAACTGTTTTTAAATTATCCATCTAGGATCCCTTTAAGGCACAGGATTCAGCTCCATTTTGTTTCTCCTACAGAAGATTTTGTTGCTATCACCCTTAAAACTTCTTTCCATCAGTAGCAGATAGATGAGAAGGATGGAAATTATTGTAAGCAGAATCACTGCTGAGGGTTTTCCCATACCTAACAAATAAGTATTTCCTGAAAAAAAAAACATTATGTAAGAACATGTGTTTCTTAATCATAATAGTTTATTTATTCCCTTCTTAACTGTTCTCTAGGTGATTTCTTATTTCCCTGGAAAGCAGTTTTGTAGTTACTGTAACATGCACTAAGCTTTATGATTTTGATGAAGAAAAATAAAAGACAACATTGGGAACGGTACATGTTCTACAAACACACACAAATAAGAACATCGTTATCGTATTTTTTTTTTTTTTGACAGACTCAAAAAGTGGGCTTTTTCTATGTAAAACATCTGGAGGCTGTAGCTTTCCCTTACCTCCATCACTTGTAGCATTTTGAACATTTCACACAAATAAGGAAAAATCTTTCCTAATTTTTCATTGCAGAACAACAAAAAATATACTTACTAATCAAAGAAAAATTGATTATCACTTACATTGTACTGCGTATGATGCCAGCACAACAGCAGAATTAATAGGGCATGACAACCTAGAAAAGGAGAAATTTAGACAATATGAACATGAGTGTAAGCATGATATTTTCAATTATTTCAGCAAGTAAAGACTTTATCTTCAAATTGTGTCTGATTTTTTCTTGTTAAGTTTAACCATCAAATCAATCAGACAGCAGAGATTAGTTGTTTAACAGCTTCTTGCACAAATAGATGTCCTTTTAGGATGAGGTACATATTCTCGCTTATTCTGGAAACCAAAGAAGGGATTCTTATGTGACTCCAGGCATCATTTTAATAGCTGCCATCCAATATATTTAAAACTAAACATAAACACTAAAATTAGCCAAATGCCAGTACAAAGACAGCTCTGATCTAGTGTTCAGATGTAATTCCATAACCAACACCTACTAAGAGATCCTAGCGGCAATTTCTATTTGGCAGCAAATATCCGGACCAACTTCTTGTACAAATACAAAGGAATCGGGCAAAGGAACCACCGTGTAAATGTTCATTATAAAGGGAAGATATTCCAAGACTAAAAAGAAACAAAAGCATGATCTGCTATTTATGAAATTTACGTATGTGCCGAAACAACATCTCCCACAGCTTACTCACAGCAGACTCATAAACTGCTATTAGTCAGCTGCACGAAAATTTGAAGTGTTTCCAAGCAACTCATGTTGTTTTAAGCAGTATTTCATGAGGTACATCTTTATAGCAGCAATTGATACACTCAGGAAAAAAAGGCTTATTTGTTCGTTTTTGCTTTTAAAGAGAATTACGGAGAAGTTGAAGATTCTTATTACCTTCCTTCCACAATGTCAGTCTTCAGCTGCAAGAAGAATAAGTGCCTAGAAAATATATTTTTTTTTAAATGAGAAAAACACTCATATTTAAAAGATATTGTTTCAATTGCTAAAAGTATTGATTTCATTTTATTATGGATGTAAGTTCCCTTGCAAATTATAAAAGAGATGAATAAGGTTTATTGGCATTTACAGATATGTACTCACAAACCCATTCTTTTTCACAACAGTTTTAAGGATCTTTGACCATCAATAGTACAACCACAGGACCACAGTATTCATAACAAACGCTGAAAAATACTGCAGTGCAAAAAAATGCTCTACAGAATCAGGCTTCTTTTCTTCTAGGACTACCTACCTGGGATATAATTTATTTTAAACATTCTTTGAGAGTCTATCTTGGGACTGTTTTTAATGTCCAATGGAAGATGTTTGTCAAGCAGCATACGCTGACAAAAGCTCTTGAACAAACCCCCAATAGCTATTCAGCCTTGCTCATATTGGAATGTTTGACAGCGCTACTTGAGAGCAGTAGTGGAGAGCTGGGAGTAAAGAATCACAGAGAACAAGTCTTGGAATCATTTCATAGATTCATAGAATGATTTGGGTTAGAAGGGACCTTTAAGATCATCTAGTTCCAACCCCCCGCCATAGGCAGGGACACCTCCCTCTAGACCAGGCTGCTTAGAGCCTCATCCAGCCTGGCTTTCAACGCTTCCAGGGAGGGGGCATCCACAGCTCACTGGACAAGCTGTTCCAGTGTCTCACCACCCTCACAGTAAAGAATTACTTCCTAACACCTAGTCTAAACCTACCCTCTTTCAGTCTAAAACCATTTCTCCTCATCCTGTTGATGATTTAAGTTTAGAGCTGCAGAACTGCATAAAGAGCAAATATCAGAATGGGTCACAACTTAATTTTCCTGTAAAAAAAAAAAATCATGTATAATGTTTTACTATTTATATTCTCAAGGTACTAAAATTAACTAGTAGACAAACAAAGAAAGCATTTCAAAAATGCCAGATCTAGAAAACAAGTACTGTTACCTGCTCTTCCTGAAACAAAACAATGCCCTCTCATACCCCTGGAAACAAATCTACTACACATGTTCAGAATTGCCTCAGTACTCATACAAAGAAAAATCTGATATGCTCAGGGCACGCAGACAGCATAATCACTGAACTTCCCATTTTTTAATCATTGCATCTGGTTAATTAAGGGATTATAAAAGACTGAAAGCACAACAGGCAGCCATGAAAGGTTCAGAAATAGAATCCAAGGTGCAAATAAAATGAAGATTTCTGTAACTAACTTACGCTCTACCAGTATTTTGGAATTGTGGGCTGCTTATAGCAGAAACCATTTATTATGAGCATTACACAAAGCTGCTGATTCTAAACACATTTAATACAAAGATTATAAGGTTATGCTATGTAATATTACATAACATACTGCAGTTTGCCATGTTGTGGAGGTGGAAATGAGGGCTTTACACATACTTAGTTTATGGAATTAAACATCAGACATTACCTGGTTTGTTCTTGCTGAAGTGTGTTAGGATCAGGTATGAAAAACCTTACACGAAAACGGAGGGTGCAGGGAAAACCTCCTAAAACATTTTAGAACACCAAATCAATTTTCTTTTTAAAAAAGACACACCCTAAGTTCTTATGTTTATGTTTACTGAAAAGTTACTCAAATAATCATACTGTAATCTCATGTATTTTACTTGTGGTTTCTTATTATTTTGAGAAGACTCTTCCAATCTTCCTCACCAACTTACAAATATCCTTACATATTACGATGCTTTCATTTTAAATACTTACATAAAAGTACTATTTGGTTATCTTTGCTGTTTTACTTCATTATTGAAAAAGGAAAAAGCAGCAAATGTATATGAAGCATCACAATCAGGATAATTCTTAATTATAGAAAAACAAGAAACACCAGAAGTTCACAGTGTTAACTTCTAACATTTTTTATCCAAATTCCTACACAACCTACAGCATACAGTAAAAATAAGAGATCCTAAAAACAAAGCTCAAGTTTTCTAACACAAATTGGGACTGTCACTCAAGTTCTACTACACTACATTCTCTAGGCTGCTGTACATACTATAGCATGCTGGCTGTCCTGTCCTCAAGCTCTCCTTTTTGGTAAACAATCTGTGCCACTCAAAACTGTTTATGAACAAAAAAGACTAGAACAACGCATGGACTTAGAAGTACTTTGTTTGTTTGTTTGTTAAAAACAAGCATAAAATTAAGTTTCCTATGTTACTTGAGACAAAAATTGGCCAGAAACCGTGCATGAAATGGGCTTGGCTACCCTCAAATTCCCTCTTTCTTATCTTCCATGTAAGAAGTCCATGGACTGCCACCATAAACTCACTACTGCTTTCACAGCCCTGACGCCCAATAATGCTGAGATGCCTGTTGCAGACACTGTTACAGCACAGTTAGCGACTCACCAGGTCCTAATAACACCCAAAGAGCAGTAAGATAATGCAAAAAAGTTCTGCTTAAAAGACGGATAGACGTAAGACTAGCTCTAAAAGACAATCTAACACAGAAAAACTGAACTACACATTTACAATCAAGAAATAAAAACCAAGTCTTACCTTTTAACTGTTTCCTAATAGGTTTGTTTGGTTCAAGCCATCGCTGTGAAATGAAAAACTATTAGATGGATTAAACATATTTACAAATAATGGCTGTTTACTTTTATATGCATGTGTATGTATATATATATATATACGTACATATACATACACACACATTCATTATTTATATACTTACAGGTGAATCTACTGAAGTTTCATTTTGCTGTAAACCAAAATATTCCTTTTCTGTCACACCCAACTGACTATAGGTCATATCCAGCAAAATCTGACCAGTGTCTTGTTTCTGAAAACAAGAAACATTTAGAAGTGAAACTGTGAAACACTTACATATTGTATAACACAGATAACGAAATAAGTTTTAAGAAACAAAAAAAACCACTTGTGAATAAAAATAGCAACTAATTTGTTCAGTTTCTCAATAATGTAAGAGCTTTATTATGAAAAAAAGTATTTTTGTTTTTAAATAAAAGAGACTTTCCTCCCAAGACACATTAGTCCCAAATCTCACAATATGAATTGGTATGAACACAAGTCATTGAGGTCGGTCCAGCAATTGCCTTTTATGCAGGTCATCCCTTCCTCAAATCAGTCTTCAGGAGCAATACCCTTCTCTGGAGTAATAACCTGCAATCATGGCTTATAGCCACATGAGGCTGCTGTAGCTCCTGATGTCATCCTAAAAGCAGGTCTTTCCGTCTCCACGTAGTTTTCTCAAGAGAAAGTTTGTATAAACCAGAATGAAGAAAAAAGGAAGGAGGAAGATGTTACTCTAGCTATTAGATCCTGGACTTCAGCTTGAATTCCCACTGACACTATTACCACTACACCACATCACTTTCTGCTTAGACATCTATCCAGTCAGGTATTCCCAGAAGAACCAGAGTAACCAGGGAATTCCATGGGACATCAAGACATGTAAGCACGGTATTTTTTTTTCCCTGAAATTAAATTAGCCTATCTTCACAGCACTGCATTGTGCAATACTGATAACCAGCATCCATCAAAGAACAACATTAATCAATGCTATTAAAGAAAAACAAACAAAAACCCCTGAACAAGACTGCAATCTTAAATACACTAACATGTAACATATATTGCAACAAGGTACAGAGCTTCAAATGTAGTCAAACCAAGCCAGTTTGCTTGGCCTCTTGTTTATTAAAAGAAAAAAAATTATATGTATGTAAAATTTTTCATAAGATCTTCTGAATTTTATTCTTAAAATCAGAAATAAGTTGTATGTGGGCACAAAAGTGACATCAGAGGAAAATTTTTCATGCCACAAGTACTTTGCTTAAAAAAAAAAACGGACAATGCATATGCATTATAGTGACCACATCTCTGTGGATGGCCTTATTCTGTGAGTAAGAATGGTCACTTAAGCATTCAACACTTTGGCATTCAACTCCCTTCGTCTAAACCTTGTTATTAAAAAACAATCAAGTCCTGCTCAGAAGACAGATTTACCTGTTTCTGGTTTTTGTTGGTTTTCTTTTTTTTGGCTTTTTTGTTGTTTCTTGTTTTGACCTGTTTTTCAAGTTTTTTGTTGCTGTTGTTTTTAACAGTGCGCCAGCACTGTAACTGTGTGCTTTAAATATTAACATAGTCCATAGTCTTCTCTTATCTCATTAAAAAACATTCTTATTTTGAAGATAAGGAAACCAAAGATTCAAGTGAAAGACACACCTTATTTGGAAGTACTGACTATTCATCAGTATTTGCTACTGCTAGAGCAGAGCTCCAGCAACTCCACTGAGATCTGATCGCTCACTATTTCTTCACCAGACTCCAGACAAAAAGTAAGGTAATAATAGCCAATAGCTATGAAAAGCTATGCCTAGTTCTCCAGAGCAAAGTCTCAGAAGAAGAAAAATGTAGGCAATGCTTAAATCTTACATTTGAAACTAGCCTTTCCCCTCTGACAGGTTCTCCTACTTCCCCCTTTCAAACTAAAGCACCTATCAAAACCAATTTCTTTTTTCTCTTGAAATAACAGACTTCAGTTCAGTATAAAAATTGCAGCATCTCAGTGACAGGTAAAGAAGCATGTCAATAAGCATTCTTCATCACACATGGCCATGACATGCACTTTGAAGGCAGTCCTGTCCAGCACTGTCAATGAGGTGGGCTCTTATACAAAGACTGACTTGTACCAGAGAGCGTCAATACACATATACAAGATCTCCCAATGGAAACAGCAAAAGCAACCAGGATCCTCTGAAATAATGGACATTTCCTTAGTTATGTTCCCCAGAATTCTGTGGTTGGTTTTTTTTGTTGTTGTTTGATAACATTGCTTGTTCCTTTCCTTGGAAGCAGAACATTAAAAACTGTCAAGAGGCATCACATGAAGCTTGCACAACTCCGAAGCATGGCTCTGCATCTCTGGAGCATACTGAGCTAAATGAGAAATTAATGGTTATTTTGTAACCAAAAGCAGTAATTACTTAGAATGATGCATACACTTCAATCAAAACAGTTTGGGAATTTGGGGTTTTGTTACCAACAGACAAAGAGAAAATTATGGTGAGCAGATTATACTGCTGACTCTCTCTAAATTCAGACATTCCCAATACCCTTTCTTTTCAACAGCACTGCCTCCCAATTCCCATATCATTTTTAACACTTCTGGTCTTTCAATCCAATTCAGATATCTCCACCTTCTCTCTCTCTCTCTACCTTCTGTCAGTGGCATACCTCTTTCTCTGCTATACATGAAATGCTAAGCCTTTCTACTCCTTCCCTCTAAAACCAAGCAAGCCCCCTGTTTTGATATCCTGAATCCCAACCCTAGATGTTCAGCCACTGCTAGTTTTCTCTACCTGCTTAGCATTCCTTTTTCCTCCTCTTCTCCACTTCTTTTCACAAGCAGTTAATATCACTTTTATGTACTCCAATCCTTGTTCTTGGGTATCAAAAGCATAAATTTTCTTCTCCACAGTGCCTAGATCAAGCACCCACTCCAGACATCTATGCCACTTTTAAGAAGTCATTTCCCACTGCTAAAATCTTTTCCAGTTGTTAAAATCCCAGCAGTTGAGGGTTTTGTTTTGCTTTTCCTTAGCAAAAGTGTACTTACTTGAGCCTAATTTTTTAAGAAACAGATGCATCATTTTTCAGTTCTGTATAACCAGAGATTATTTACACAGCTCATGCTGCAAAATCTTCAGTCTCTTTTGCAGATAAACAAGTTTCAGATCCAGCTATAAAGTGAAGCAGGCTAAGAATGTCATCACATCTATTTTTGAATTTTGACATCCATTCTATAGACAGTCCTAATACACATAGTATTCAAACACAATGAAATATCAAATGCTTTTAACACAGTATTTTTAGTCCCATCCTCCACAGAAAGAAGGCAAAACAACATGAACATCACTCATCTAAACTGGACGTTAGAATCAAGTTCTTAACACTACAAATCCTTACAGTGAGTAGTTAAAGCTCTTAATAATGCTCTTCCTTTTCTACAATGAGCTAAGAAATGATGCACATTCCATACTCAAGTATTGTTAGTGAGTACCATCTTGTGACAGTTTCTTCTTTCTGCTCTGAAAGGAAAGTTTCTATTTATTTCAATTTTCTGAGATCTACCAATCCTTATTCTGGTGCTAAGGGTTTTGTGTTCATAGAATTAATTTGTAGAGGCATTAATCACCTCACAGCTACACATCATTCAGATCCATTTAAGTCTGTCCTGAAATTGCTTTCACCTTGTTGGATACACCAAAATTAATATTTAAAGCTGTCACAGCTTATACTTGATATTGTCTGTCCGTGCTACCACACAAACTCCTTAATTACAGCAAGAAATTATTAGGCAAGCCCCAAATCCTCTTGCTTACTAAAATTAAAGAGAAAGAACCCCTTCAGTAGTTTTAATATCAAGTGTTTCCCATCAGCTTATATGATCAAAGGTCCTTAAAACTGCAAACCCAATGCAAGTGAAGACTGTTAGTTCTTCAGAGAGCAAGGGTAAACATGCAATTAAACCTTTTCAGTTTTTTAACTTCTATGAAGGGGCACAAAGCAGCACCTTAACTGGACAGTGCAACACATATCCTTGTCCTCCTTCACAAGAGCTGTTCCTTCCATGCCTGCCCAAGCTGGAACCTGCCTCTTTTGTCTGCTTGTGATTGTGCACATGACTTTCCACAGAGTCTGGCCCCAATGCTAAGACTAACACTGCTAATACTTCCTTGACAGTGTCTCAAAATTCCTGCGTGATGTACAGTAGCACTCACCTTATTCACAGCCACAATACTAGTGGATCAAGCCACCAGTGACTTTCTCCTCTATTCTTCAGTACTGAAAACTAAGCTACAAGGAAAAAGAAATCAAAACAAAACTACCAACCACCCACAGCAATACTAGTTAAAAAGTTTTTAGTTTAAAGCATTGATTTTCCCGTTTGTGGCAATCTGTCTGCTACATCATGCCCCTATAATCTTTTTTTATTACTAATGATGCCTCAGACCTTGCACTTTTTAATTTACTAAAAAAATTAAATAGCGTGTTAATGAGATTTGCCAGTCAGGAACTCTGCCAGTGATGTCCAGCTCTGCTATCTTTTTTCAGCAGGAACAATTGGCACCTTGAGTCAATTGCCCATCCTGCAAATCTGCTAGATTCCACATACAGCTCAGCATTATCCTATACCAAGTCACACAAAATAGTTATCTAAGCCTAATGAATGCTGACCCACTGCATTTCCTGTGTCTAAAAACAATTTAACAAACACATATATGAGGTTAGTCGTGCCAGATCTAACTTTGGAAAATCCTCCTCTACACAAATTCTTTCCTCCATCTTTATTACAAAGTCAGGCCCCAGGATCAGACTAATAAGCCTGCAGTAGGCCAGATCACTTTCATGCTGCCTTTGAAGTCATCATCAAGTTTCATGCCATCTTATTGTCTCCCAATCACAGAGTACCCTGATCTGACTCAACATACAACTACATATTTGTTGCCAGTCTAAAATCCCACACAACAATTTTTGACATACAGAGATGCAGATTAGCACCAACCTCTCCTGTATTATCCAACATCATCCAGCAGGAACACTTTGTGATGAAGATGACACTTTATCATCCCATTTTACTATAAGCAGTTTAAAGCCATAATGCATACCCACAATTAAAACAAACCTTTAAGAAAACCACTGCTCACTGTTTTAAACATACCATTACTAAATGTTGGTGCTAACTGTAACAAGGATATTCCTTTTCAAACAATTGAAGGAGTTTGATTGAGATGGCATGGAAAAAAATACACAAAAACATTCATATCACTCTTCATTATTACAGTCAAATCCTTTTATTTCTCAAAGGAAAGACTATTTCTAGAAGGAAGCCAAATAGTTTAAAAGCAAAAAAAAAAACAAAAAACCAACCACCACCAAAACACAGGTACTAAAGACAAATACTGACTGTGTTTCAGAAAGATAATTTCTATATTGCATTATCTGACATTAAGTTTTAAGCTTTCCCAAAGATCAGTTAGCTGGAAATTGAGATGTATACATCCCAAGTGGTCATTCTTGGTAAATGAGTCAAAGAAGAGCAATAATGGAAAATTCTTGTATGTTTATATCAAAAGTTGCAAATAAGTATGCATTACTGCTCAATATACACCTATTAAACATACCTAAACATGGCAGATGGGCACATTCTGTATGTATAAGACTGATATTATCTTTCCCATGTAGATGACAAAGTTAACTTTGGAGACAAATAAATTCACCCTACCACAAAATTCAGACATCTAGCATATATTAGAAGGGTTCCAAAAAACTTGAATATAATTAAATACTAAATTCCATGCCAAGTATAGTCAAATCTAGGTATCAAATGTTGCAGGTTTTTTTTTTTTTTTTTAATGTTTAGAAGTTTTGGCTTACATACACCTTCCATTCTTTGGATGGACATCAGACATTTTCCATCTAAATAGCGAAATACATGATAAAGGAAAGGCAAGACAGGCCACTTCGGGCTGGTAAGGTTAACATATATCTCTAGTTGAACAGCAAACAAAGAAGCAGCGCGTCTCTTCGTACACCAGTGAGAATTTTCTTGACAACAATGATTTAGAGAACAGCACCTACCACAAGTGATACTAATTAACTCTTTGTGAGATCATCAATATAAACTTTTTATTCATCAAAACTCAGTTACTTAACATGAAAACAATGAACAATAGCAAGAAAGACTACTTCCACTACCATGCTCAAGTCAAAATTCAGGAAAAAAAAGACACTGTTTCATTGAAATTTAAACTCCCCTTTCACCTGCCAAACAGCATTTTTTAGTATACAAGCTTAACAAGAACAAATTCACAGAAATAAATTCAGCAGTAAAATTGAGGTCTCTCAGAAGACAGGAAGTCCCTTGGATTATTTCCACAAGTAAAAATCATTTTCCTACTTCCACTGCTCCATTTTAGTATGGTTAGTTTTTGTTCAGATTACTACAGATACAGTCACTTGGAAAAAAAGTTCTATGTAGGAGAATGAAAGAGATGCCTACAGTTACCATTTTAAAAGTCTTCAAAGCCTTCACAGTTTGCTAATAAAGTGAGGAAATTGAACTACAGGGAATGAAGAGAAAAAGTCTCATTTCCATTCTCTCTGTTTTCCAGAAGGTTCAATATTTGGTGATTTCTTGACTATTGTACCATCATTTTAAAGATGTCACTATTAGTTCAAAATTTCAAAGCACATAAATTCCTCTCTTCAGCATGTCAATAGGTTAAGACTATTTAGTCCATTATCTTTGTATTAAATTTAAATTCACTTCAAATTCACCAGTACCAAGCATCTGTGCAGTGACAATCACACATTAGAAAGTTCAATCTTGGAAAATACATTTGCCTAAACTCAAAGAAAGTTTCTTTTGAGCCACTTCTACTCTTCATTTATTTTTCTCATTTTTCTCTATAACATTCCTATGCCTGGTAAATAAATTTCCTTGCTGTAAGAATTCTGTGTTCAGATAACGGCTGTACCTCATTAGAATTAAAGGAGCCTTTATTCCCACCTGGGCTATTGCATGAAAATCATAAATCAGTCAAGTATCCTTAGCCCACAAACTAGCCCTGAAAAAATGCCAGCATTTGTTTTTCACTGATCAACTGAAGTTCTCTGTTCACAGACATAAAAACAAATGGTCTTGGCCATGAAAACAGATGCGTGCACACAAACTCCAGGAAGCTGAGTTTTTCTGTTAATGTAAGCAGAACTCAAATATGAATTCTCAGCAGCTTGCTTCTAATCCTTTTCAGAGATAGACCCAATCAGAAAGTGGCAAAATCTGCCCTGATGCAGACGTCAAGTTTAAGGAATCCTGAAGGATAAGGGCTCCCCCAGTATCAATATGATAGCTCAGTATTCCAAGGACATCAATCTTCCTGAAACTGGTCCTTGTATTAACACAAGGTACCTGGATAACCACGCCCCTTGCTCCTTTTTAACAAAAGGACCTGTATTACCTCAGGGCAGCTCAGCATTATAGCTGCAGTGAAGGAGCCCCTTCTGATCCTTGGATCAAGGAGATAATCAGAGACACCCTGAGGGTACCTTCAAGGCAGTGAGCTACATCAGCTGAGCCCTGATATTCATAACGGTTTCGATGATTGTTAGAACTTGCTGCTCAAAGGATGAAATGAGAAGCACAAATTCAGGTATGCAGTGTTAGTTTTCAGACTAAATGCTAAATCTAAAGCTGTGTAAACATTTGCTCACTGGGAAGAATACACTACTATGCAGGGATTTCAAGAAGTTTCAATTCCTCCTTTTTCACAGGTCCTTGTGCATGAGGAGGCATTTAGGCTAGCTCTATTCAAAACTGACATGCTGGAAATGAACAATGAAAGTTTGCTATTCACATACTGCTCTCTTATACATTTGCCCCTCACTACCCTACTGAGCATTAGATACTTCACATTATAATTCTATAACAACGTCTGTATTCGTGTGAGTGCATATATATGCATTATTTGTGTATGTACATACACATGTGAAAATGTATATATGAGTATCTATATACATTATAAATACATATAAGTATATAGTGGATAAAATGCATACTAAAATATTAGACTAATTCTGTACGTATTGAAACGAAAACATTAGAATAAGAAAATCACCTGTTTGGCAAGAAAATTCATTTTCTTTCAATAAATACCCAACAGATAAAGTTTAGAAATAAAATCAGTCTGCAAAAAGAACGAAGAGTCCCCTTTAAATACAAATTACTTATTCACAGGTGATAGCAATCAGCATATCTGTTTCTTTGTTGTTACCATATCATGCAGAAGACCTTTCACCAGATACAAGAGTCACGATGAGACTTTATGACCTTAGTCTGTTGCTTTAGAGAAAATTAAAACATCACTTTATCAATCTATTTCATAACCAGTAGATCTGGAATTTGAAATGACAAAGCTATATCTTCAATACCTTGTGGAAATCCCGTACCTTCAGGTCCCATATTTGATCTTCAGTTTGCAAATGAACACTAAAGGATTAAAACAAATACATAGTTTTCCAGACTTACATTGACTTTGAAGCTTTGTATTGAGCCATCCAAGAAGTGAACGTTACAGGTTATCTCTGATCGTGTTTTCTCTTTTGGTAGTTCTGATGCTCGTATGTTATTTATCCTCCCACCTAAGGCTCGTAAACGGGAGTTCATAACTATTGCTGAATAACCTATAAAACAAAAAATACATTAAGTAACAGTTCTTACAACTCACTTATGTTTCATCAACAGTCTTCAGAGAAACCCACGACAACATAAAGGTCTTATTACAATCCAAGTACTTAAGAATAAAAAAAACCTTATAGAAGAAAATGAATTGTAAAAAATAGCAGGTTCTAAACCAGAACATAAACAAGTACTGAGATTTCCATGCTCCAAATCTACTTATGATTCTGTTAAACATATTAATTACTGCAATGTATTCTTAAGTTAGACCTGGGCCCTTGGCTTAGTCTGCAAACAAACAAACGAAAAAACAAAAAAAGCAAGTCAATATTTTAGAGCCCACCATACATAAATTCATGAAGACAAAACTACATCCAAGAAAAACTCAAAAATATATTTTCAAATTTTTCTTGGAAAAAGTACAAACTCTGAAAACAAGTGTTTCTAAAACGGCAAAATATATACATATATATAAAATAATAATTAAAAATAAACTATTCACCAAAATAAGAGCTAAATTAAACATAGTCAAGCCTGTAAACATTTCAAGCCTCTCTCTACTAGATCAATTTACCAATTAACATCAGAACATATAAAGCCAGCTGGCAGGCGAAGCTGAGGATAGTTTTCCAGGTTAGTTACCATACCAATTACCGAATCATACCTCACTTATTAGAGGCTAGCTACAAAAAGACTTGCATAATGCGAGCGTTTCCTAGACAGCTGGCCAAGCCAGACAGGAGCAAGGTCAGGACTATTTTGGAATATACCCCTTCTTCTCTGCCTGACTTAAAAACATAGCAGGTTTTTTGTTGTTGTTGTTTGTTTAAAAAGCTAAAGAAACTGAAGTTTTCAAAATAAATTTCTGAAACATCATACCTACTCCCCTTATCCCTGTAAAGAAAAAAAAACATGAATAATAAAAAAATAACCATGAAATGCATGCATGAAAAACAAAATATTAGAGTACCGAAGACAACAAAAAGCAAAGCAGTGAATGGTCAGTCAATTCATAGTTTGCTACTTTCTAAAATTGAAACTATATTTAAATTACTAAGATTGATTCATCCAGCCAGCCCATTGCCTTTTTTCCCCTCTGGAACATCACCAATATTTTCTTCTTACTCTTTTCCAAATACACACGCTCTTTTGTTGCTTTAAGGAAGGAAAAAAGAGGTGATCTTTAGGTAAGTTCTGAATATTGTTTTCATATAAAGCACTACATACTCCTACTACTCTGAAATTCTTGTTCTTGATATACAGTCTGCATTTAAACATAGTACATTAATATATATAATTTTTTCCTTACCTAGGTCTTATTAAAGGAATGGTTGCTGAAGAAAACACACGGTTACCTAATTATCAAGGGCATCCAAAGAGATGAAAGCTAAAAATGTATATGTTCCTAACAGTTACATTTACAACTACTTATTACCAGAGGGTTCCTCTTTCACCAAAAAGCCAGGTGACAACATGAATTATACTGCAATCTTTTCTCCCTTTTCCACTCTCCGAGGTCAAGAACCTCTCACTGCAGAAAGTGACAGACCACTGTCACTACCTGCCAGGTCACTGATTGGTAAGAGAAGAAATTTACTTCCTGGGGCCAACCACAGGATGAGGAAGCAGCTTTTTCTAGACTGGTGCAAACCTTGGTCAACTGGCAGAGGGCAGCCTCATGCTCTGCCCTTCAAGGCTCAGCCTGCACTGTGAAGACTTGTGCTCCCTCAAGCTTACATACTCATCCACTCTTGGGAAAATCCCATTTGACCCTCTCACTTCTCTGAACATTTATTTAACCTCTATACAAAATTCAGCCACTGCTCCCACTGCCTACAGCACACTCCCTAAATTCAATCCCAAGGTTTTTGTTGAATACTAGCAAAAGATAACTGGAATTTCATGTTAAAGCTGTTTGCAACAAGAACAAAGTTCCATTTGGAAGGTTTTCACAACTTTTTAATTTTTGATTAAATACTATTTTTTAATGCTACTAAAGATAACATACAATATGCATCTTCAGAACTTCCATGGCTCTCCTCCAGCAAGCCAGACCAACTCTTTTCCATGCCACAAACCTGTTAATCTGTCTCCAAGCACCAGTGGAAGGTGGCCAAGTGCTAATAGTAACACTTCCTCAGATACTGCTACTTGTCACAAAATCTGAGAGGTGCCCAGTTGAAGGCTGAAGCTAGTTTTTTTTCTTACATTAGCTCTTCACAGTTGGGGCTGGATGCCCAACTTGGAAATTTATCACAAGAAAAGTAAACCTTCTAGAGAGACTGATTTGCAAAGAGCATATGAAAAAAAAATTCTTTCCCCCCCCCCAGACACCAGACTCCCAGACTGCACCTACAGCACGCACAGATCCTTGGCCATCCTAGACAGAGCCAGCTGAGCACAGCAGCCCAGCAAAAAGCAGGATAAGTGGCTGTGGTGTCCCAGCACACTACCAGTCAGGCTGGAGCTCAAAGGGTATAAAGAAGGCCCAGCAGTCTGCCAGAAGCTGGGTGCTCACAGTATAGAAAACTGGCCTCCACTTGCTAGCACCATGTCTTTCAAAGTTATCCTGTACAAGAGCTACAAAATCCCAAAGGAGATGTTTAACAGGGATCATGCTGCAGGCACCAGCATAAGTCACTGTGTGTGTTAGAGCTCAGCATGCCACTCTCAGAAACAACACAAACTCCACAAGTTCCTAGCCTGAAAGGCAAAAGGCAAACAGATGGGAATCTCAGTTACTAGCACAGGCACTTCCACTTTTCTGCCATGCAGGAACTGCTTTAAAAGCAGTATTTAAAGAAATAAAACAGGCCTAGATTACAGGAATGCTTGACTTACCAACACCATTGTGATATTAAGCGATAGAGAAGCCGTGGGTGCGCTGGCCCTGGAGGTGATCAGGGCCAGACTGGACGGGGGCCCTGGGCAGAAGGCATCAGCCCTGCCCACAACAGGGAGTTCAAACTATATGGTCTTCAGAGAACCTTCCAACCCAAGCCATTCTGCAATTCTATGAACAATGCAGCTGCTTTGGGACAGGGAAAGGGTCCCTGTGCTGATAGACAAGAGCAGCCCTACTCTGAACACCCAGAGTAGGCCACCCAAGCTGCCAGGGGCAGCCATTACATGCAAATACTAGCTTCCCTTCTGTAGCTTCTGTGGGATGCTAATTCCCAAAAAATGGGAACAAAACAAGATACATTTCAACGTTATCAATAAAATTATAGTCTTACTGATAACTCTTATTATCAGTAAGAGAACAGTTTAACATGTATATATATCTCTTACTAAAATAAGCATCTCAAATTCAGGAAGTTGAGTAATAACTTAAAAAAAACCTGAAACCAAAACAGAATAAACAACCCCAAAACACAGTTGTTTTCATACTGAAGTATAAAACCAAAACACATAGAACTCCATCCCATAATCAAATTTTGCAATAAGCTCACAGGAACAAAAAACTTAACTATAGAAAGAGGTTAATGTTTTCCAAGTGCATTAAATGCATTTCTGAACAAGTTCGGTTATGCGTGGCTTCCCCAAGAATTAAGCTGCAGCCAAGCAGAACAAAAATAATGTGTTTTCCTTCACTTTTGTATTGAACACTGACTTTTTAAAGAGGCCTTTTCCAACCCAGCTTTGCATACCTTTGCAACTCACTTAGGAACTGTTGGTAAAGAAACTTATGACCCAATTCCCAGCATAACTATCGTTAGCATGTTTGCTACCAACGAATTAGATCAAGAACAGCTTTTCTGCTTATATTCTTTTTGACCTTCTACATAGAATCACATGACAGCTATGAACATCTGAAAAATACAATAATCATCATTCATTAAACTAAACCATTATGTAAACGGAGAGTATTTCTACTCCTGCAATGTATGCACCTATGTTTTCTTCCTCCTCAGAAAGAGACTGCTGCTCTCTAAGCATTCCTATATTTTCTTTAGAATCATGACTGAAAATTCATGGTTCTGTATTGGTCTACTAAAAATTGCCAATACTACAGAGCATGAGAATGACATTTATGAAGAGTTAGCACTACTCATTCACTTGCATTATCTGAGTAACCTCAACTGAAAACGAGTATTTTAATTACAAAGTCCTGTACAACATTTCAGTCAGAGTTACATTTTATGGCTACCTGTTGCTTAATTCAAGACATATGAAATAAAATCATAGAATATGTTGAGCTGGTAGAGACCTAAAAGGATCACTGAGTTCAACTCCTGGCTCCACACAGGGTGATTCAAAACTGAAACCTTATGTCTGAGAGTGCTGTCAAGATGCTCCTTCAGCTCCAGTAATTTGGTGCCATAACCACTGCCCTGTGGAGCCTGTTTCATGCTCACCACCTCTAGTGAAGAACCTTTTCTAAACACCCAACGTCCACACCTCTCCAATGAACAATGGATACCCCCACTCCACATTGTACACCCTGAAATTGGAAATAAAAAAAAACAAGACTGGGAATACAAAGACAGGTAACACTTTAAGATGTCTTTGTATCAATTTATAGCCCTACAAAAACCTAAATGGCCTTCATCATGCAGCAGCTTTCCCTGTTTGCCAACTGAAACGATCTCCCAAATGATCATCACAAAAAACAACCCTAAAAATCCAAACTATTTATAAACCACATTCTGACTCTTCCTCCCATGCACTGAAGTACTATTTACACATTTTGAAGCCACATCTAACACCAATGCTTTTTAATGAGGGTTAGATTATTAAGCCAGCTTTCCTGAATAGAAGCCGGAAGTTTAACTAAACATCCATGAAAACAAGCTTCTGTTTTCACCTTCTACAGAGACAACTCCTTTTCCACATTTTCAATATGAAAGTACATATCTTACCATTAACTTAAAATGCAGCTCTAACGCTTCATGAGAAAATCCCACTAAATGTTTATAACCACAATATAATATTTGCAAGTATTCGCTCAAATTAAAAGGGCATTTCTAAAGCCACAAGCAAAGCAAAAAGATAAGCTTCACTT